GCTGCATCTGAAATATTTCCAAACACAGAATATCTAGGTGGTGGAGAAAATAAAACATAAATCTTACAGTAACAACTATTCCACTCTATCTCTTTCAAAACGGCTGATGCTAGGGCTAAACTTCCCTTTTGCTGGGACATTGGGAGGATGAATTAAAAGGAATAACAAATCAACTCCTTAAAGAACTTTCTTGTTTACTTGATCATTGTCCTTTTCATATTATTTAAAGAGCAGAAGTAGGCTAACTATCTGGGCTCCAAAGATAATAATATTTCTTTGTGAGTTTGATAGATCTGGCTTCTTTAAAGAAAGTCATGATCACATTATTAGGAAGAAATTATTTTGATTTCACTTGGAGCGGGGGAGAATGTTCCATAAGACGGACACCACCGCATAGAAGGCCCAGAATAGTAAAATCTTTAGTTGAAAGGAAATATTCAAATAAAAGAATATAGATATAATAATTGGGTCAGTATCTTTTGATATATTATAATACTGATAGAGGAAAATATTCATAACTCTAAGGTTGGTTATTTTATTGCATAAATTTCATTACCCAAACTAGATAGCATCATCAATACTGGTAGGGAATGGGGTTTGCTCTCAATTTATATTATAGTGGCTTTGTCAGACTTAAACTGTTGGTTGAGACTCTTACCTGGAATCTTGACAGGCTTGCCCTATCAGTGTTAGTGGGAGTGCTCTTCGTAGTACTTTGGTTAGACTTTATCGCTAGCTTGTTTAACATTTCCTTCATTGGGGTATTGTTTGCTTCTTGGTTGTTAGTCTGATGTTAATCTTGGTGTTAATCTCTGCTTGTCTAGGTGTTGATTGTTGGTGGAGAGGTGTTTAGGTCTTTGGGGGTTTTGCATTTCTTACACTGTGTTTTATAGATGACTCCTGTTTTTTGTCTGCTGGATCTTTTAGATGTAAGATGTTTTGGAGGGCTATAATTGGTTTTTGTGCTGCACTGATGCCATGTGATAGTAATAATCTGTTGGTGGTTTCTGACAATTTTTTTTTATATATGTACCTTTACCTTTTTTATGGCCTGTGTTGGTTGTACTATTTGGTTTGAATAGTAGGGCACATTTTGATGAAGTGCATTTTGGGGGGGGAGATGTAGTGTGATGATCAGTTTCCTTTTTTTGATGTTCAGGGTTGCTGTAGTATGTTTTTGCTTGTCTAAATACTGCTGTTGCACAGCTTCTCTTGCGGGTTGAGTTATTCATTTGGTATATATTGTAGGTTACAGCATTTATCTAATTCCTATAGAGAAATGATAGCATACTGTGTGAATATTTATTTTAGCCATTTAGCAGAATTCAAATTCATATAGTACATGCATTCTGCATTCCCCCATCCAATCCATGTATAAATGGTTGACCACCATTATAAAAACAAATAATAATTATTAACAGAAATTTATTCTGGCATGATTTGGCAACAATCAGTTCAGCTGGCTAATATCTGTCATTTCCAGTGTTCTCCTATTTATAATTCAGAAAAGATTTGCCAATTGTGCCATAATATAATAGTGACAGAGATATTTAGCCTTTCTTTAGTAAGAAGCAAAAAAGATGAAAATATAAATATACAATACTGAAGTTACATATCAATATCATATCAATAATCTATATCAATCATTAGTATCAACAATTTGTATCCTAGCAGCTAAATATATTTGTACAGTTTTTCCTTTCAGGATTCATTTAACAAATGGTATTCCCAGATGGATGTAGCATTTATAACAAGATTACTTTTTCTACTTATTTATTGACCAACAACTTCTCATACAACTCAACTTCAGAAGCGGGCCTTAATTAATAGATTTTACTTAATTTTGAGACCATGGTAAAGACTTATAGTATTGATATTAGCAAAATTTTCACTTAAATTTTTGATAGCTAAATATTCATTCAAACCATATCTATGTAATCAACTAAACTTCATAAAATATGGTTATCTCTGTTCCAGGGTGGTTAAAAATTTATGCTTTTTTTTTAAAAAAAATTAAAAAGCAGATTTTTAAACTTAAATCAGATTTTTTTTAATCAAATATATTTTAATAAAATGCTTGTGGAGTAAAAAATCTATCTAAAGATAATATTCTATTTAAGATACATTAATAATTTAGTTTATTCAGCATGAAGTAGAACTTAGTTGCATAGCATGAGGCTGTATATTTTACAATAAATTCAGTGAAACCAAGCTTTGCAAGCTGTATTGGAAATCTTCATTTTGTTTGCAAATAATAATATTAAAGATTCTAACCACCAGCAAGAATGAGTCTTACATTTAAAGAGCACCTGTCATTTCAGATCCATCATGGCAGTGCCTGTTAGCGGGCATCCACTCAACTGCTGCCCGTCACATCCCTCACCTTGTTGTGTCACTGCCAACCATCCCATTAAAGTGAATGGGATTGTTGGTGAGTCAGCAGCGGGTCAGAGGAGCTGCTGCAGGACAGAGATGACAGTTTGCTCTTTAAAAATTATGATTTAAATCGAATTGATTTAAATTGAGCCTTTTTAAATTGTGATTTAAATTCACATGATTTAAATCAAATCCACCCTGCTCTATTCCTTTCCTCCCTCTTTCTCTTGTTCTAATTTTTACTTTTGAGGCTATAGCCCCATGATGGCAAGCGTTTTCCACGTTGCGTCCCAAAAGTGTGCGCGCTCACATGCCTGCACCCATGATGCAATGCACGTGACTCCCCTGCCCCCTACACATGCACATGCGAACCCCCCACACTGCATGCCTATGCGCATGCAACTCTCACATGCACCTCTCCTCCCACGCATGCGTGGCGGATACCTGGCAATCTGTTAGTGGGGGGACATGTGCATGCACAGTGGGGCTCTTCCAGGCAACCTCTTGTGTGCCATAGGTTTGCTAACACGGCTATAGCCAGACCAAGAATAAATGCTTATATTGTTAATGTGATATAATTTCTGTAAAAATTAGAAAATAGATTTTATTTTTCCGCTTTCTAGATACAAAGTATATAGTTTAGAATCCTTGGTTTATGTTATAAAAAGCCTTCCTTCCTGGCCCATTACCTAATTTTGACACTAAGGAGATACAGATAGTTCAAATTAGCAGCTGTCTGGTTTAATGACTTTTCAGAATTACAATGATGATGAAAAAGTAATTTTTATGATCATTCTTTGCATTTATGACTTTTGCAGGTCTATAAAGCAAAGGAAAGCTGAAGTAAGATCATAAGCATAGTAGCGGTTTCATTTAATGACCACGTCCACTTAATGACCAAGTTGCTGGTCCCAATTGTGGTCCTGCCAAAAAGAGCTTCCTGTACAGGTAGTCCTCGATTTACAACAGTTCATTTAGTGACCATTCAAAGTTACAGTAGCACAGAAAAAGTGACTTATGACCATTTTTCACACTTACGACCATTGCAGCATCCTCATGGTTATGTGATTTACATTTGGATGCTTGATAACTGACTCACATTTATGACAGTTGCAGAGTCCCTGAGTCATGAGATCCCCTTTTGCGACCTTCTGACATGCAAAGTCATTGGAGAAACCACATTCACTTAACAACCACATTACTAACCTAACAACTGCAGTGATTCACTTAACAAAATGTGGTGGGGAAAGTAATAAAATGGGGCAAAACTCACTTAACACATTTCTCATTTAATAATATGAATTGTGGTTGTAAGTTGAGGACTATTTGTACTTTGCAAAAGTCAGTCTTGTTAAGCAACAATATTAAATTGCTTTCAATATATAATCAGTCACAGACCAACTATACTATTAATATGGCCTAAATTAAGTTTGGAAGCAGGATAAAAATCAGCAACAGGGAAGAACGCACAGAGTACTTGTTTCTGAAGTAGAAAAAGATTCAAGGGAATATGTTGTGCTCATGAAAGATGGAAGGTATTATAGCAGCCCAGAGTATAGGTTTAATGGCTAATAGGTGGGGTGGGGTGTTCTTTTCTAAGGCTGAGGTTGGATGTGCTCGTTTATTTAGTTCTGCACATAGGTGTTTTCATTTGGTTATTGCATTTGTTTTCAAAGTAAAAGATGTGTCATTACCCAGATATGATAAGCTATAGTTCACTTTAGTTGTGCTCAGGTCAATGGAAAATTAAACAATAACTGAAGGATTGCATGTTGCTTCCTCTCCCCGTACTCTATGTTATCGATAAGGAATCAAAGTGAACAAATTAATGAAGAATATGACACATAATGCATAATTAGTACATTAGTACTTATTTTATAAGTCTTACCCCTAGATTTGGATTTCTAGTTTGCTGTTGCTTCCTCTGCTAATAAAGATATCCAGGAAAGGTACTGTGAAGCAGCATCTAGAAGCTATAACACCTCTATATTTACAGCCAAAATTATGAATCCAGTATGTAGGCAACACTTTATCATCATCATCAATAATAATAATAAAAAGAGAAGACACATTAAATAATCAACAATATCATTGAAGGAATAAAATTTACAATGAAAGAATAAAACAATGTACAACAATTACTTGAATGCACTTACACTTACTCTATCATATCAAAATGATTTTAGTAGTTCTATGTTTATCTCTCTTTGTGCCATACTTTAATAAATATTTTTTTTAAATTTACAATGGAATATTAAGTTATTTTTAGAAAGTACTTTATGAAATCCATTATACAATCTTATAACACATTTGTGATCGTCTCACTGACATAGGGCATGTATCTTGTAATAGTATTTTTGATGCAGCACTTACATGCCTTACCTAAAAGTACAAATACTGCAGTTCTCTACTGTTATATCATTAATATGTAAATGTATGCAGATTTTAATTGATATACATTAATTGATAGAAATACATATGATTCAAGTTTCATCAAATCATGATTACTTTGCAATATGCATTTTAATTTTAATTGTCCCCAAAGTGATTGAAATTAAAAATATTTTCTTAAGCTGATAAAATGACATTTAACATGGAATGACCCAAATGAATTTTGTTCACAGGGATATCAAACCAGACAATATCCTGATGGATGTGAATGGACATATTCGGTTAGCAGATTTTGGTTCTTGTCTGAAGCTGATGGAAGATGGAACGGTAAATTAGATTTTTTTTAATAGACTCAGTTAAAATGTACTTTCAGACATTTTTAATATTTAAACCTTATTAACCAATACAGTTTGGGATTATATTCGATATAAAGAATTGTTGGTTACTAAATTATTCTTTTGAGCAATGGTGTTGGAGCTATAATAGAAATCAATTTTAATTCTTCTGGCTGGATATACTATAATATTCATTCACTTTGCACTCCTTTTATGTTCCTTCACCAAATATCTTACTTTACCATCATTGTCCATAAATATTTAATAATTCCCATTATCCTGTGACTCTTCCATTTTTTATAGTTATATAGTTCTATACCATAATATCTACCATAGGTTTTGAATGATATCTTCATTTGTTCTGTCAGTGATCTATTTCACCATAGAATTTAGGTTCTGAGTGCATAATTTAGTTGCTTTCAATGTAGAACGAACAAAACAGATATAATAATTGATAATGAAAGAGAATATGTGGATTATAACAGTTAAGAGGAATTGAGATTCATAGAAGGGAAGACATAGTATTCTTTTTAGTGTCAGTTGCCTGACATGTTATTCAAGCTGTTAGGGGTCTGTTATAGCTGGACATTAATCACATGAGAATTGGTGTATCAGGTACAACATTAATGTCAATATACCAAGTATAACAGAATAATTTAATTTGTATTATCCTGTTCTATAGCCACTATTATAACCCTGATATTTTGACTGCATTGCTCTTGCTAAAATAAATGAAATAATGTGGAGATGAATGTGTAAACATTTCCTTTCTTCGTTTGTGTAATGATTTTTTTAAAGTACTTTATAATGCAGCAGTGTAACTGGCCAGTTTTACAATAATGTGTACTTTAAAGTTCTTTAAACTTTTGTTTTGTTTTTATGATACACATATAAAAGATAACAGCCATTTAGAATTGTATCACAGAATACAAATTTTACACTGATCATACCATCCTGGAGAACTTTTCTTCAATTGCTTATGTACCTTTCCAATATTTTAATATAGCATGGGTGGCAGAGCAAAATGAAGCTCTTTACTCCTTTCTGGAATTTTATGTCCTTAAACAACAAAGTTAGGCATTGAAAAATACCTGCAGTGCAGTCAGTTTTACTTTGTTTTTTGCTGTGAATTAATAGATCTTGATTTTATTATTAAAGAATTTTATTTAGTAATAATGAACAAATATATCTATTCCAATACTTCACAGCAAGTCTTTTGAATATTTCAGCATTTAAAAATATAAAAAAGTTTCTAGTCTTCCTTCCTTCCTTCTACTGATCCATACCAGTAGTTTTTCTTGCAATCTATCTCATGAAATGGTCTTCTCTATGATTTGTGTTGTCTCATTATTTTTGAATGTTATCTGTATGTTCTCTTCTGATCCCCAGTCTTGAATATTGAACCTAGATCTTCGTGTGTGTTTTTTGAAAAGTATCAGAAACATGTGAAAAAATATAAATCCTGTTTGCATTCTAAAAATACAGCTACTTACTTTCTGCCAAATCTGTGATAAAATCCAGAGCCCATTTCTGCCTGTGTGTGTTCTAGTATTTCCTAGTCATAATTTATAATTAGGTTAAATATCTAGTTCTATATCACTTGCTATTATTATTACTTTTTGTTTACATTACTCCAAGTCCTGGCAAAGTATTTTAGATTTTTGAAAAAAGTGAAAATGTGCAGTTTGTTAACACAATCTTTCAGTATTTGATACAATCTGGAAGAAATACAAGATTGTATATAGATGTGGACTTTTTCTTCACTGCAAGTTCAGGAACAAGATAACAACTATAGCTAATAAATGCCAGATTGCTATTAGGATTTTTAATCTGTCATGGTGGAAAACATTTCTCTTTAATTCCATCTACTCATACCTATCACTACTTTAAATATAAATGGATCTGTTCCTATACATATAGAAACAGAAATAGTGTTATGGGTAATGTTTCATTGTGAAATAATAATTCCTACAGGTTCAGTCTTCAGTGGCAGTTGGAACACCAGATTATATCTCTCCAGAAATTCTGCAAGCCATGGAAGATGGGAAAGGAAAATATGGTCCCGAATGTGATTGGTGGTCCCTTGGTGTTTGCATGTATGAAATGCTTTACGGAGAAACACCTTTTTATGCTGAATCTCTGGTGGAGACATATGGAAAGATAATGAACCACAAAGTGAGTGAGCTATCCTTGTATGTAGAAATGAATGACAGCATCCAAGGAATCTAGAATTATTTTGCTTAGTGATTCATTTATATTTTTTTCTGCCTGTGTTTAATATATTTCTTTTCAAAATGCATTTCTCATGGCAGCTCATGATAGAAAAGAATAGAAGGCATACCAGATTATGAAACTGTTGTAAATTAATTCAGTTAAGATATTTCTTTAAATTAAAATATTAATTGTTTTGCATATTTGATTAACTTATTGATTGACTTGACTTTAACTACCCTAACATTTTTATTGATATTCTTGTTGGTTAATGACATTGGTGAAATCTAATGAAATGGTTTTTCTAGTGAAACTGCTTCTGAAAATGGATCAGATGGCGGGAATAGTGCCTCCTCCTGCCCCTATATAATTTTCCATGTGTCCAGAAGAACAGGAAGGAAAAGATCATTAGTGCAAACAAATATTGTTGTGGGTTTGAATTTCATCTTCTGAATTCTGTTTTTGGGTGCAGCCTCCAAAATTGCAACCAGATATAAATGTTTAATTCTCCCATGAGCTATTCAGAGCATCCAGTAGTGGGAGGTGCTTCAGTCTCTGCATGTCTAGGATGGGCTTAATTTGTGAAATTCTCCTCCTCGGTGGGACTCCTCCCCAGCATTCCCCAGTTTTGTCTCAGCCTCGTTGAAGATAGGCAGTGCTTTTTGTTCTTCCTTGGCCGAAACAGGAGAATTATTCAGCAGGTTTGGAAATAGTCCAGTTTGTTTTTTCAGGCTTTTAGCCTCCAAATCACATTACAATCTCCTGACTTTAGCTCTCTCCATCTGACCATCAGAGATCATTTGCATTTTCGGGCAGCGCCGTTTTGCACATGGAAGCAGCAGGCGGCTTCGGCATTGCACTGAGCTGCTTCTACCCCCTGCCATTGTGATTCTGCATTGCCTTTTTCTACATCGGCAATAGCAGCGTAGGTGTTTTTGCCCTCATCCGAGTCGTATCGTTTGATTTTTTCCCCTCAGAACACCATCTTAGTGTGGAAAGCATAAAAGCTTAATTCTTTCCACCCCTTTCCCAGCCGTTTCTAAGCCACAAGGAGAAGCCGTCGGAGGCATTTTCTTCACGCAGCGGGAGTTTGTTGCTGGGAAGCGTGCGCCCTCCAAAAGTAACGACCATTTTTTTGCTTTTGTTTTAAAGACCGTGTGGCCGCGCTATTTGTAACTCGAGCTGTGTGAGGTAGTTTCCTTCCCGATCCGAGGTTTCTCTTCAGATAACCTAAGGAATTATTACATCTCATTTTCTTATTAGATTCAAGGCCATCCGTGCATTATTGTTGGCTTAACCCTCACAGCCTTACCCACCCAGCGGCACAACAGCGAGCACCCAGGCCTGTGTCCGCCTGTGCAGGGAAGCTGTTGAAGGCCTCTCTTTATTATCTTGGCCTTTTCAGGTGTTCTTAATTTGGCTGTTTGGATACTCACTATATCAAGCTGTTTTCTATTAATTTAGATATATATATTTATATCTATATATATTGGTGATTATCAATAATAATAATAATAATATAAATAATTTACAGATAATAAATATTCAGTATTAATATCTTAATAACGAAAGATATTATTACTGTGATACGACTCATTCATATATATGTGTGTGTATGTATGTATGGTATTCAGCTTTGTTCAGGTATTTTCCCATGTCATTATAGTTGTGCTTTTAAAGTTGTAGCAACGTTTCGGCAGAATCTCATCTGTCATCATCAGGCTTCTGTATTGTGTTCGTCTGTGAGTCAGACTTTAACAGCCATTTCTGTTTTAAATTTGGGGCTTGCCTACTGCTGTGCCAGAATGGTTTTTTTCTTCATCCTGATTGGTTGGGTCTTGGTCTGTTTTTATTGGTCTTGGAGTTTGCTGTGTTCTGCTTGATTGGTGTTTCTAATATCTTCTCTCTGTTTTGTAGCTTTTTTTATCTTGATTGGCTGGCAACATTGTGTTTCCTGTATTGGAGGCTTTTAGTGCGGTTTGGCTTCGAGTAAACAGACAGCTATCATTTATTAGGAAGCTAGGTTTCATCTGGGTGCCTGTTTGGGGTGTGTTTGAGCTGGAGGTATCAGGGGGAGTCTCTTTGTGCCCAGGTGTTTGGCTGGCTTGTGGTGTGCAGATTTTTTTTGTTTGTGAGTGCAAGCTTCCAAATAATTGACAGTCTGGTGGAGTCATCTTTTCTATTCATGCTTTCAGGTCTTTTTTCAATCTCTATGGCTTCTCTGATAATTCTGTGGCTGGGGTTTTCTATAGTGGCTAGGGTTTTGGTGACATTGAAGTCGATGCTATGACCTGTGGCTTTCATGTGTTAGACTAGTGAGGAAGTGTGTTCCAGCTTTTTTACTGTATTTTTGTGTCCATCCAGGCGGGTACTTATTCTTCTATTGGTCTGTCCAATGTATGTGGCAGGGCATGATGTACAGGGAACTTCAAATATGCCTTGGTTTTCCAGGTCAATTTTATCTTTGGGGTTTCTTAGGATGGCTGCTATTTTTCTGTCTATTTTGAAGGCAGTGTTGATGTGATGCCTGTGTAGTATCTTACTGATTTTGTCTGTAGTACCTCTTATGTAGGACAGGACAGCTGTTCCATGGGTCTGTTCATCTTCTAGGTCTCCATTATGTCTCAGTGTGTTTTTGTGGATTAGGCCAGTGATTTTGCTTTTTCGGAAGCTGTTAGCTGTCAGTTCTTTAGTCAGGGTGCATAGTTCAGTCTTTATGTGTGTCTTGTCTGCCAGGCGTTTGGTTCTGGCAATTAGTGTTTTGGCCACGGAGTTTATCTGTGTTGGGTGGTGGTGGGATTGGGCGTTGAGGTAGCTGTTGGTGTGTGTTTTCTTCTGGTATATGGTGTGTCCTAGTGTGCCATCTGTTTGTTTGTAGATTAGTACATCTAGGAATGGTAGTTGTTTGTTTGTTTCCGTTTCCATGGTGAATTTGATTTTGGGGTGTGTGCTGTTTAGGTGTGTTAAGAAATTGTTTAGGTTTTCTTTTCCATGGGGCCAAATAACAAATGTGTCATTGATGTATCTTAGCCATAGTTTGGCTTTGTGGGTGGCATTGGCTAGGGCTCTGGATTCGAATTCTTCCATGAACAGGTTTGAAGGGGATAAGATATTATCAGGGCAACCAGTCCCTTTTTGGATCAGGCCCCTGGGCGTGTCAACCACCTCCACAGTATAGCTTTGAATAATGAGCAGACTGCATTTCTTTCAATCAAAATGGCAGGCAGTAGTAGCTCTCAGACCTTAAAGGTCAAAGCTAAATCTCAGCAGAAATTTAAGCAGACAAAAGGTCATTCTAAAGCTTCAGAAAAGGATGCCAACAGGCGCTATAAAGCATTAGAAAAACAAATAGATAAGTGTACAAGGGAGGCACACAGGGCCTCACAGGACTTTCCGCCCCCTAGTCCAGGACCGTCTACCTCTTCCCACCCTCCTCCTCCCCTAGATCTCTCCCTCTCATCCAGGTGCAGCTTAGTTCCCCAGAGTCAACAGGCCCAGTTACCTGGATCATCGACCACGCAAAGGGCTCCCAAAGCTACATTCACTCCAACGGTTGCTGGTCTTTGATAGGACAACATTCTTCCAGAGAAAGTTCCAGAGAGGATGAAGGCATGGATGGAGCTGGCAATCCTCCAGGGAATTGCAGCAGGTCTTCAACACGCAGTTCTGACAAGGGAACATCCTGTAACCGCTGATTATGATTCTCAATCACTAAGGTCATTGACCAGGTCGGAGCAACACTATACCCAGGTACAGTTACAGGGGGAAGCATCCCTCCAAATACAAGGTCAAGGTACCATCAAAGGTCCTCATATCTCTCCACTGGTGGACCAGACCAGTCATCAACAGAGGTTGTCTCTTCAAAGAGCCCCACAGACTTACCATCACCACCGATGCCAGCCTGTTTGGATGGGGAGCTCACTTTCAATCGCTCACAGCCCAAGGCCGCTGGTCCTCTATAGAATAGTCATGCGGCATAAACTGGCTGGAGCTTCGAGCAGTACACCTGGCTCTCCGCAGCTTCCTTCCACAGGTACGCAATCATAACAGCAAAAACTCCCATAAACAAACGGGGGGACACAGTCAAAACACCTTATGCGGGAAGCAGAGCGCTTGTGTCGTTTGGTGGAGAACAACCTGCTTTCCATCAGAGCAGAGCATATTTTGAGCCTGTTGAATACACAGGCAGACTGGCTAAGCAGGGCAACGATCGACCAATCGGAGTGGTGCCTCCATCCGACTCTGTTTCAAGAGGCGGTCAGGAGATTCAGGCAGCCGGTGGTAGACTTGTTCCCTTCCCCCCTCAACTCTCAGCTCCCCAGATTCATTTCCAGGTACCCCTCACAAGGAGTGGAGAACTTCAACGCGCTCCGCTGCTGTTGGCCTCCGGGACTTCTGTATGCATTCCTGCCACTTCCACTGGTTCCCAAGGTCATCCAGAAGCTGCTGGATGAAAGGATGGAGCTGCTGCTAGTAGCTCCTTACTGGTCCAGACGGCCATGGCTTGCAGACCCCCGCAGTCTATTCTCTTCACCATGGAGAATTACGCCAGACAGGGTTTTGCTAACCCAGGGACCCCTTCAACATCCGGACTCTCAATGCTTGCACCTGACTGTCTGGAGGTTGAGTGGAGACGTCTGAAGAGCGAAAAGTTTTCCAACAGAGTTATTGCTCTCATCCAAGTTGCCAGATACCCCTCAACAACCCGCATTTACAATGCCACATGGTCCAGTTTCTGCAAATGGTGTACTAAGTCTCAAATTGATCCCATCTCTCCATCAGTGGCTCAAATCCTAGAGTTTTTACAAGAGGGGTTTGACAAGGGATTATCACCTAATACGTTGAAAAGACAGGTGGCGGCCTTGGCATTGGTTGTCACTTGTGAGGGTCTATTGTCTCTTTTTCATCACCACGCACACGGAGTTTCCTTCGAGGACCCACAAATTTACACCCGCCAGCGGTTCACTGTTATCCCACTTGGGACCCTAACAAGATCCTCATTGCACTCACTAAGTACCCTTTCGAACCCTTGAAATCATCAAGTCTCCAATTTCTGATGTATAAAGTAGTTTTCCTTGTAGTGATCACTTCCGCTTGTGGTATTTCGGAACTGGCAGCTTTGTTGATCAGACAAGACTTTGCATCTTCCATCCTGACCGGGTGGTCCTTTGTCCTGATGCTACGTTTATACCCAAAATTAATTCGGCTTTTCACAGGGCACAAGAGCGGATACTTCCTAATTTCTGTCCCCGGCCATCCCAAGGGTTGGAACTACAATGGCATCAGCTTGATGTGAGACAAGCATTGCAAATATATATTCACCGCACAGCAACTTTCAGAAAAACAGAAGCTTTATTTGTGTCATTTCAACCCAACACTTAGGGATGCAAGGCCTCATCTTCCACAATAGCGAAAACGTATCAGACTCAATCACTACAGGTGCCCAGGGGCATAACAACTCATTCAACAAGGAGCGCCACAACGTCGGCAGCGTGGGCCACGCAGGCACCAATAACTGAAATTTGTCGAGTCGCAACCTGGGCCTCTCCATCGCCCTTCATTAGGCATTATAAAATAGATGTGTTTGCATCTGCTGAGGCCTCCTTTGGCAGAAGAGTTCTGCAACCGGTCCACAGGGACCAGGAGGGGAGTCCAAGCCAGATGGAGTCCCTCCCGTCGGACAGGCCAAGCTTTGGTATGTCCCACTAGTGGATGCTCTGAGCAGTTCATGGGAGAAAAGGCGTTGGTACTTACCTGATATGCCCATTCTCTTTGAGCTGTGAAGAGCATCCAGCCCTATCCTTTTTCCGTCTGGTGGGGTCCTGTTTTGGCCAACGAATTGTTAGGGCATTGAGGGCAAAGATGTTTATTTCTCTCGTCTTCGCCAAAACTGAGGAATGCTAGGGAGGAGTCCCGTGGAGGAGGAGAAGCGTTCCACAAATTAAGCCCAGACTAGACATGCAGAGACTGAAGCACCTCCCACTACTGGATGCTCTTCACAGCTAAAAGAGAATGGGCATGTCAGGTAAGTACCAACGCCTTTTTTATGTGACAAAAGAATAAATAACATTCTCAAGCAGTATTCATATTAATTGTACTGAGTTAATTTAATAAGCACTATAACCACTGACTAGAAACAAGGATGTCTTCTTGTTAAAAGAAGTTCAGTCACTGTTGCAATTAGTCTGAATCTGTCAATTTTGGTTTTTCTTAGTTTGTTTCTGCCTGGTCAATTAGTTTGCAAGAATAGTATGACCTCACATCTTCCTGCAAATTGTATTTCATGTACTCCTTATTTTTTTATGGTGCATTTCCTAGTATGCGTATCTCTTTTCAAGACAGGTACTGTATCTCTGATATAAAATATTCTGTGCATACTTCCCCAAAACATGTATTTTATGAATTTCTAAGTGCATAACAAAATTCTAAAAACTCTATACTTCTGAATAAATTTATTATGGAAGATGCTTCCTTGGAAAAAGTGGTAACTCACATTATGTGGCAATACATTTGTACTTGATAATTTTCTGATGCAAGATATAAATGTACTCGTACAGAACCTATGGGGTTTTGCTTCTTGGGTTGAGGTGGTTAGTTTATGCCTTTTTGTAAAGAAATTAACATTAGTTTATTAATTAGCATTCTTTTTTTCCTTTAAGGAGCGATTTCAGTTTCCTGCCCAAATGACAGATGTGTCTGAAAATGCCAAGGACCTAATTCGAAGGCTTATCTGCAGCAGAGAACATAGACTTGGGCAGAATGGAATAGAAGACTTTAAAAGCCACCCATTTTTTTCAGGGATTGACTGGGATAACATTCAGAACTGTGAAGCACCTTATATTCCTGAAGTCAGCAGTCCAACAGATACATCGAATTTTGATGTAGATGATGACTGTTTAAAAAATTCTGTAAGTAATAGAGGAGAGTATTTGTAATATGTTACATTGATATTTATGTACTTATGTTTAAATTTTCTATCTTACTTTTTACTAAAACCCCAATCATTATTTAAGATAGGCAGCAAATGAACTTTACAAACAAATAAGTAAATAAAAATTACTGATAGACAATTACGATCAAACTTTATGTCTGTTGGGTCACAAAACATGGAAAGAAGCTGAACAATAAGCTTTCATTAATTTCTAAAATAAGAAAAAATTGCAATCGGACACTCCAAAAAAGAATAGTTTTTATTGTTTTCTCAGCTTTTTGTTCTATACATTTTGGTGGTATAAACATTGCTGGAAATAAGAAACATTGAACCAGAAGCAGTTTTATACTACCATAAATGATCAAGGAGGCCAGCGGTAGCGTTTCTGTGATGGTCTTTTCAAATCTGCTACTTTTTCTGAACCAGAATACCCATTGTGCTAATTTTACCTGAAATTAATACAAATGGATTAACCTTTTCTAAATTAGTAAACTCTTCTTATTCCTTTAAACCTCAGGAGACAATGCCTCCACCATCACATACTGCATTTTCTGGCCATCACCTACCATTTATAGGATTCACATATACAAGTAGCTGGTGAGTAACCAGTTTTTTTATATTAAATCATAATAGAATAGCTCAATTATTTTGTGATTTAAAAATAAAATAGAATTAAATGTAAGTATTTCGTTGCATTATTTGTTAATATTTGTTTCTGTAACGTGTGCATTTTATATAAAAATTTTGAACCAATTGTGTAATACAAAATTCATAGGGCACTTTGTTTCCATCTTCATAGTAATACAGAAAATGCAGATTGTATAATAAAACTGCACACCAGACAAAATCCCTAATTTTTATATCCAATGTATAGTTTTTCCTCTATCTAGAATAATAATTTTAAAAAGGTAGAGGAGTCCCTGCAGATTTTACTCTACTATTTATTGCCAACTGAAGAGGCAGTGCTCATCTCCATTTCAAGGCCATTGAGCCAGCACTGTCTGAAACATTTCCATGGAAATGGGGTGTGAATATGGAATCCTGCTTTGTTTAAAGTATTGAATTCTGGATATTCACTGTCAAAGTCTGATTTTCACAATACAGATATGTGGAAGTGTGTCATAATTTGGGGGGGCAGATTTCTACAGATCTCCAAAAAACAATAGTTGACACTCATCAGGCTGGAAAAGATTATGAAACTATTTCCAAAGAATTTGGACTCCTTTAGTCCACTGTCAGCAGATTTTGTACAATTGAAGGCAGTTTAACACCATTGTTACCCTCCCTAGGAATAGTCGACCAACCAAGATCACACTAAGAGCAAGGCATATAATACTTTGGGAAGTCTCAAAGAATTTTAAAAGAAGTGATGTCTAAGGAACTAAAGGCCCTAGGAACTAAAGAAATGAAATGGCCAAGTCCAAATCCTGTGCTTAATCCTATAGAAATATTATCGACCTGAGGTAGGCAGTTCATGAGAGGAAACATATTCACATCCCTGAGTTGAAGCTTTTCTGCAAGAAAGAATAGGTTAAAATTTCTCCAGGCTGATGTGCAGAAATCGATCAACTGAAAGCAAAGGTTCACATTGCTTTGAATCATTTCCATGGGTGGGATTCAGCTGGTTCAGACCCGTTCAGCTGAACCAGGTGTTAAATTTACATCTGGTTTGCCAAACCAGTAGTTGAACCGACCAGCTGTCCCTGCCCACCCCGCCTCACCCAGGAGTCTCCGCGCAGCTCATTTTGGATGCAGGTAAGTGCATCCATGCAGTCCATGCGGAGGTTCTGGAAGAGTGAAAAATGGCCCTCCCAGAAGTTCCGGAAGTCCGGGAACGGGCCTGTTTCCTTCTGGAGGGCCTCCAGACCCCGGAGGAGGCCGTTTTCGCCCTCCCAGAGGCCTGAAGGAATCCTCTGGACTCTGGGGAAGGCGAAAAATAACCCTCCCAGAAGTTCCGGTAGGCCATACCCACCATGGCCATGCCCACCCAGCAATTGGGCAGAGAACCGGTTGTTGGGATTTTTATTTATTTATTTTTTAAACAAGTTTTATTCAGTTTTTCACATAGATTACAAAACAAAAAAGCTCTTTTGAGTAGACAACATTATTCCGGGTCACCACTTTTACATGCAAATATGACATGGTTATATATTCATTTTTACATTCAACTTCCTATCTTATCCAATTTTAACTTAACTCTATTATTACCTTTTCCATTCCAACTTTACAGAAGTAAAGAACAAACAAATTATTCCTGATCTCTGATATTAGTCTCAATCTAAACATCCTCTCAGTTCATTTTAATTATTTCAAGTATATTTCTTAAACATCAATATTTCTTTTAAAGATAAAAATAACAATAAGCATTCACCTAATAAAAATTATCAATGTCCCTCCTTCCTCTTAATAATCTATATTACCCTATTTCCATATCTTCATACTTATTACCTTTTAATTCTTTTATCTGTCAGATTTGCAGTTTCATCACATATTCTTTCCATAGGTTCTAGATTAACACAAGCTTGTATACAAGAAGAAAAGCATAAGTCGTTCCCCCCCCACCTTTTACTAATTTAAGTGTGTCACCTCAGTGGTTTAAATATACCTTAATTCCCAATAAACATTTTATTTTTATTTTTTATTTTATTTGATTTGTCAATTGTTTACAAGATAATAAGTATAAGTGTATACATAGTTATGAATACATGAAATGGGTACATATAAGAAAAATTAAAGAAAAATAAAAGAAACAATAGGACAGGGACGGTCGGCACGTTGGTGCACTTATGCACGCCCCCTAGAGACCTCTTAGGAAAGGGGTGAGGTCAATAGTAGACAGTCTAAGGTTAAAGTTTTTGGGGTTTGGGGAAGAAACTACAGAGTCGGGTAGAGTATTCCAGACATTGATCACTCTGTTGCTAAAGTCGTATTTCCTGCAATCAAGCTTGGTGCGGTTAAACTTGAGTTTGTATCTGTTGTGTGCTCTTGTGTTGTTATGGTTGAAGCTGAAGTATTCATTGACAGGTAGGACATTGCAATGTATGATTTTATATACCATGCTTAAATCAGACCGAAGACGGCGTAATTCAAGGTTTTCTAGTTCTAGAATTTCAAGTCTGGTGGCATAAGGTATTCTACAACGAGTAGAGGAGTGGAGAACTCTTCTTGTGAAATATTTCTGGACTTTCTCAATTGTGCTAATATCAGATACGTAATGTGGGTTCCAGACTGATGAGCTGTATTCGAGTATTGGTCTAGCAAATGTTTTGTATGCTCTAGTTAGTAGTGTGATATTACCAGAGAAAAAGCTACGTAAGATTAGGTTAACAACTCTTAATGCCTTTTTGGCTATGTAGTTGCAGTGGGCTCTAGCACTTAGATCATTAGAGATGAGTATTCCAAGGTCCTTTACAGAGCTTGGATCATCAACAAGATCTTGACTATTCAGCTTGTATTTTATTTTCGGATTTTTTTTGCCAATATGTAAGACAGAGCATTTATTTGTTGAGATTTGAAGTTGCCATTTGTTTGACCATTCTGATACACAGTCAAGATCTTTTTGAAGGGTAGCAGTATTGTCTGTGGTATTGAACAGCTTTACATCATCAGCGAAAAGAACACAGTTGCTCTTAATATGATCACAGAGGTCATTTATGTAGAGTATGAAGAGAGTTGGTCCTAGAACACTGCCTTGGGGAACACCACTATTGACAGGTACAGAATTTGATAGGACGCTCCCAATTTTGACCATTTGTTGTCTGTTTGACAGGAATGCTTCTATCCAGTTATGCAGTTGTCCAGAGATACCATAGGATTTTATTTTTAGTAGTAGTTTGTCATGTACCACTGAATCAAAGGCTTTACAGAAGTCTATGTAGATTGCATCTATTGTTTTGCCCTGGTCAAGTTGTGTAGTCCATATGTTTTTGCAGTGTAAGTTTTTAACTAGTTATGATAATAGTCATTCCCTAATAAACTACATAACATTATATATCTTTTCTGTCAGATTCCACAATGTATTTTCCCCCTTTAATTTCATAGAATTTATTTATTGTTTCAAAACAAAAATAAGAAAAAAAACAAATAATCCATTTTAACTAATCCTGGTCACTGATATTGATCTCACTTTTAAACATTCTCACAGTTCATTTCAATTATTTCAATTTATTTAATACACACTGACATTTCTTTTAAAGATAAGAATAAAAATATGCATACATCTACTAAAGAATATCAGTGTCCATCTGGTTGTTGGGAATTTTAAATCCCACCCCTGATCATTTCCCTCAATAAATGAATGAACAAGTACAATGTGTTTCACTCGTTTGTTTAATTCGGTTCTGTTCATCTAGTTTTAGGACTTGTATGTAGAACAGATCATGTTTTAGGTCATACTTTTGCAGAAATATTGAAAATTCAGAAGGCTTCACAAACCTTTTAGCATCACTGCATAATTGGAGAAAGTATACCTAACTATGTGGGTAATTTGTAGTTATTTTTTTCTACTGACAGAACTATTTCATTGCTGGAATGGGGAGAGGTGACAAAACTATTCTCTTCCTTCCTTATGAGTGTCGCCACTTAAAATTGACTCTGGATATTTGGAAGATCATTAGAAATCAATTTGGATGGGAATAAGAGGGAAGAGGGACAATCTTTGTGAGTGGATTTCATCAGAATGTTCAAATGGATTTCTACTTCAATTATATTGGATTTCAATTGCAATTTATGATGGCCTCATTAATACATTTACAAAAAAGTGTACAATAAAAAGACCTGTTTCCCGTTTTCTGTTGGAATGTATATATGAACTTTTAATTATCCTAATATGAAAGTCATAAAAATCACTCCGTTAAAATATTCTAAACCTGATAAGTATCTTCTCAGTGTCCTTTCGGATCGTAGTACTCTAAGATTTGCAGCTGGGCAACGTGTAATGGAACTTGATGCCAATGTTCAAAGAACACTAGAAGATACCTTAGCTACAGAAGCATATGAGAGACGAATAAGACGTTTAGAACAAGAAAAGCTGGAACTTAGCAGAAAACTTCAAGGTATTCCTATGTAAAGTACACATGATTATCTATTTAGGTCAATTTTGGATTCCATGACTTAAGTGGTGAAAAGACTTACATTACTACATTTTCAGTAAAAACAGTATTTGAAAAGATTCAGCATATAATTGGACATTAACAGATTATTTTGCAACTTTGTCTAGATGCATAATACTTCGACAGTATAACAAATTTTACAGCTACTCTTAACTTCAAATTTGTCTGATGTTTTAACTTGACTGCATTGAACTTGAGCAAACTTCATGATGCTTGCTGTTCCAGGCAAGAATTTTGCACAATTCAGTCCTCATATTCCAGATAGCCGTCTGCCAATGTGTTGTATATTTTTTTAGATGAAGAATATCTTTCCTGAGCTGGAGACAAGATGTTCTTTTAGTTGAATTACTCTGCTTTTTGTGTGGTCATATGGTGCAATATGTGAGAACTACTTTGAGACTTAAATGTGTGGAAATAGTACCTATTTTAAACTTAGCACAAATGCCATCACTTGGTAAATTAGCTAACGTACTGTTTTTTAAAAAATAGAATCAATGTAATAGTGTAAGATTCATTTTCTTACTTTCCTTGATCACTAGGAGAATGTGAAGATCAGCCCCATATAATGAAGTTCAAAAAGTTTGGCATGACAGAAAGTTTTATAGAATCTTTAGATTGGGGTCCAAAAATTTTCAGGCCATATTATGATTTTTAAATGTCAAAATATATAGTTTGAAAATTTTGAATGCAGTTTCTTATATCTTCCTTGCTTTTTTAAAGAGTCCACACAAACAGTCCAGGCCCTACATTATTCAACTGTAGATGGTCCATTAACAGCAAGCAAAGATTTAGAAATTAAAAGCCTGAAGGATGAAATTGAAACGTTGAGAAAACAAGTCACTGGTAAGTACCAACACTTAATACTGAAAACATTACAAAACATCACAGAGCAGAGAGATTGCCTAAAAAGGTGACCTCTTTAGATAATATTTCCTGTCTCATGTCTTTTTTTCCTCCTTCCCCTCTAAATAGAGAAATTGGAGAGAAAGGAATTACAAGAGAGTAAGTAGGCACATAATGGAGAATACACATGAAAAGAGATGCAGTAATGCTGACTATTTGCCAACCAGATAGCCTAAGGTTAATTAGTTAATTTCCTTTTTGCCAATTATCCTAACATCTGGGTAAGCATTCCATAGGCTGGGGAAACTTTTTCATATTCATTCCTGTTTCTCTGGTTCCCTATCAGTGAAGAAATCATTGAAACTTACTAAAGTGTTTTCTTGCTTCATTTCTGCTTATAAGATCATTTAACCAAACTGCATTTTCCACCTTACTATTTCTAACTTTTGCATTCAATTCTCCAATCACCAAGCAGCATGTCTACTTGTATGTTCTGTTGACTTTATATTGAATTTGACTATTAAATTAGTCAACTTCATTTTCTTCTACATTAGTGGTTGGAGCATAAATACTGATAACTGAAGGCTGTCCTGCAATGCCCAAATTATTTGGTTAACTGACTGCATTTACCTATATACATTGTACCTAAATACTGTATTTGCTGTATAGTCTCCCTGATAATGAAATGGTAGAGAAAGGGATAACCAAAATGAAGAAATGAGAGTGCCATTATTACTATGTCCCGGTTAGCAAATAAGATTATAACAAGAGGACATGGTTAATTTCTGTCCTGAATAAAAGCATGGAGTATATTGTTTGTTCTTTTATTTTCTGCTATTATAAAAGTAAGGATTCTACAGTAGGTCATGTTAGAATTCACTAATGGCAAAAAGATAGATGAAAAATCTTATTATACATGTTGCTATAATAAGGCCTGTAATAGTTACTAGCTTTAAAGGGAGATTTTATAAATCCATCAATAAATCTTAGTCACAATTACAAAGTAGAGTTTCTAATTCTTAATTCTGTTCCCTGTGATTTCCATATATGGAGTTTTGCATTTTCGTAATAGCATATCTAGAATATTTAAAGCCTAATATTTTGGGTGAGTGTCTCATCCAAATCTGTACAGGAAAGAAGTAAAGGAGCTGCCTCTGCACATTCTTCCATTATCTTTTAATCAACTTCATCTAAAATTTAGATTTAAATCTCTGAAGTTTGGATTTCAAAACTCAAAAATAATATTTAAAACAATCAAATTAATTTAAAAGATTTGGATGGGAAAAAAGATTAAGACTTCAGAAAAAAATGAAAGTTAAGTATACCTTCTAAGTGTACTTACCTGGCAGGGAAGATACCTTGATCACAAGTATCTTTGAGATAGTTTCATAGCTGTCGCACAGATATTTAGGCCCTGAACTTTTAAGGGATTTGAAAATCAAAAACTATTTGATTGTCCCTATATTAATTTATCAAAATTAACATAGTATGATCTTAGTATTTTTGTGGAAGATGGTATCAGAACTCAGCAATATGGTAGTACCTTTATTGTCTAATAGATTTTATTAAGAGGAATAAGCTTTTGTGAACCTTTTACTAAGTTGCTAGTTAGAAAAGGTTCTACAAATCTCTGATTAATTAGTATTTGTAGTAGTGCCCAGAGCTATTTTCATTGTGCAGGTTTTGCTAATGACAGAGCCAGTTTGGTATAGTGATTAAAGATACTAGCCTAGAAATTGTGAGTTCTTGGCCTGCCGTAGGCCGTGCCATAGGCACAAAGCCAGCTAAGTAACTTTGAGTCAATCACTTTCTCTTAGCTCTATGAAGAAAGCAATGGCAAACCACTTCCAAAAATGTTGCCAAGAGAAGTGCACTGGACTTGCCCATGCAGTTGCCAAGAATCCAGACTGACTGGAAGGCAGAAAATCAATCTCTCTTAGTGTCATCACCTTCGTTGCTCCATTTTGCATGATAGAGCTTCCAGGCATTCTTCATAGTCTTACGTAGACACTGTATAGTCTAACAGTGATTTAGCCAAGTCTTTGGTATTCATTGCCAGATCCAAAAGCTCTAGAAAAATTACAGATGTTACAGTAGATGCACTGTAACAACTGTGGCATCAAGGAGCACTTCCAGACTACAGATCTATATTTTTAAGGGAGGGGTATACAGTATCTGTTGCCATCATAAACTGAGACTTGTGGATTGTTAAGCAAGTACTTGTCCAATCCAAGTCATTCCAGGCTTGATCCCTTTCAGTCCCAACTGTCTCCAACTTATTATCCGACTCGCTTTTCTTTCCCCACATTTTTCCCTGCCTTGTGGGGCAGCAAGCATCCCTAGAACTATGGGGCTCTAGGGCTGCTTGCCACACTGGAAAACAGCAGCTGCCTGAGTCCAGTCCCAGCCACAGTCACCCTTGTCTGCCTGCACTCCAAGACCTCTGCTGCTCTACACTCTGCTGCCTGTAGACTGTAAGACTAATATATTTTTATGAACAGCACAGTTTTTAAAAAAAACCTAGAATTTTTCTATTTGAAATTTCAAATAGCTTCTTCTATCTTACTCGTGTTTCCAAGAAAATGATCTCAGTCAGCATCTTGGCAATATGTCTGAAGCAAAAACAAAGGGATGCATTAGGATAAATTAGGCTCAAGATATTGTACATAATGAAAATGAATGGTATAACATCATTCTGTATGCTTTGTTTATTTCTTTTAAGCAACTTCTAATTTGTTTTAAAAATAATAGCTTGGGAAGTAGATTACTTTTGCAATTTCAGAAATAGTAAAATAAATGTAATAAATATTACATTGAATTAGAGCTTTAATTATTTAATTTAATTTCCTTTAATTAGGAGTAATTAAAATCAACTATATATAATAAGATGTGAACTACAAAATTTTGTCTTGAGTAAGGCAACACTTCGGCTGATTTTAAAAACATGCACACAAAATACTAAGCACCTTTCAGTTTAATTTGCTAAATTATACACCAAAGCTTTTAGCTTAGACAGTATCTCCCCTAACTGCTACGTGTAAATGTTATGCAATATGTCTTATTACATTTTATTGTAAGAGAAAATAATAGCATAACCTGCATTACAACCTGTGATTCTGAATTTCATGAAGATGAATATCATGAAATAATAGTTGCAGATAAGAATTTCATGTTTACTTAGTCAAAGGTGCTTCTTAAAATCTGAATTCAAAGTCTATTTGTAGAGATTTGAATGTTTTTCCTTATTTAGAATTAAGTTTACCAACATTAATATTAAATATTGTGGGTTCTGTTGTTGTCACATGGTGCCTGCAAAGGGCCTATTTCTTCTTAGTTATGTTCTTTTCTATGTTATGCTCAGTTATTATCTCTGCATATTCAGCATGCTCATGTTTTCATATATCTGTCATCTGTCCTCTGTTCCTATATTCTGAATTAACAGAAATAAGTAAGATGAAGGCAAAATTGCACAACCAACCCAAACATTAACTTGATTTTGTATGTCTTTTTCTAAAAACAACACCTATGAGTTGATATTGTACCAAAAATAATAAAGAAAATATTAAGAAAGCATAAGGGCCTCACTATGATTTCTTTTAGGTAGAAATTCTTTATTTTTTTCTGTTCAGTTTTATTTCTCATCAGTATAGATATTTGAAAATGGGAATGAATTTCTCATTCTGTGGGACATTTGTTACAGTTAATGCCTCATTTAATAACCAAGTGGATTCAGGATGTGATGATATTGTTTCCTGTTCAGTCTGTGGGCCTTTTGACAACATATACAGTGCTTTTCTATAAATTCCTTTTGTTTTTGTAATTCAGATTATTCATATTACTATGCACACAAGGTATATTCTCCACTAGCATTACCATGGGCTAACTAGAATATGTTTATATTTTATTTTTACATGCTTCATGGTAGGTAGGGAACCCCCTACAGAAGACTCAATTTAATACCCTGTACCCCCATAAAATTTGGACATTCCCATTTAAAAAGGCCTTTATTGAGTAGGAAGTTACTATTTTGTTTTTAATTGATCTACGAAGAAAGAAAATTGTGATCCACCTGGAGTTTTTAAATTAAAACTTTATATGCGGATTCCCACTTCTATAAAATAATACAGAGATGAAATTCCCACCATGACATTGGTGGGAATTCTTGGATTTAGGAAGAGAAAATCTAAATTTAGCAAAATTGACCACAGACCCACACTAATCCCTAGCTCATTTAGAGTCTAGAGTTCATTTTACAGAAGACACAGTTTGAAGAAGAAATGGATACAAGATCACATACCTCTCATTTTAACTGGCAGAAGGTCCTGCTACCATAGCCGTCACTTCATACATACAAACTGATAAATAGTTCCTAAACATTCAACTCTTCTGGGAAGTTGGAATGAATGATGGGTCCTTTTTGTTGCCCAAAATGAGCAGTAAGGCTTCTATTTTAGTGTTTTATATTTCTCAGTAATTGTCTCTTATAGATTCTGGGCGATTAGAGCAGCAACTTGAAGAAGCCAGTTCTGCACAAAGAGAGTTAGAAGATGCTACCAGACACATCAAAACTTATGAGAAGCAAATAAAAGCACTAAAGCAAGAGCGGGATGATCTTAATAAGGTATAAACAATCTGATCAACGTTTTTTATTTCTATTTTAGCTTTAGAATACTTCACTTCCGTATTCAATCATCTTAATGTAGCCACACAACAAAATGGTTAGGCCATATGAGTAATTTGTCTGCATTTGATAGTATTTCTGAAACAAGTGGCAGTCATGGCTAGGAGGGGCTTTGCACAATTTCATGTTGTATGCCTGTTGCACCTTTATCTGGATTGTGAAGTCCTGCACAGGATCACTCATGCCCTAGTCATCTCTTGATTGGATTACTGCAATGCACTATATATGGGCTACCCTTGAAAAGTATCAGGAAGCTACCGGTGATGCAGAATGAAGGGTGCACATAGTTCTGGGGCCCCTACAGTGTCACATATAACACAGCTGTTGCACAAACTGCATTGGATACCATTTTGCTTCTGGTCCAGTTCAAGCTGTTGGTTGTTACCTTTGAAGCCCTATATAGTGTGGATCCAGGTTATCTAAGGAACTATCTCACCCGAATGGAATTAGTCTGCTCTGCTTGCAGCAGCAGAAAAGGCCTGCTTCAGACCTCATTTGCTAAGGAATTTTGATGGGTGGGGTCAAGAAGGGCTTATTCTGCTGTGATCCCAACTCTGTAAAACACTCTTATAACCAGACGTGAGAATTGTTCCCATCTTTTTTGGCCTTCTAGAAGGGTTTTAAAACTTAGTTTTGCCAGGGGAGTAGTCACCATTGGACGTGGTTTATGAGGTTAAAAGACCTTATCCAAGTCTTGCCATCCATGCCCTTGGTTTTGTTTTTTGCATAGTTTTGAAGTTTTAATGGGTGTAGATTTAAATGTCTAACTTCTTTTCTATTTATCTTTTTATGTTCTGCAAACTGTATGTCTTATTTGTTTTAACCCTATTTAATGATAGAAAGCTAATATTTAGGGATATGTCATATTTTGTTTCTGATTGCAGGAACTGCTTGACTCCAGCGAGAGGTTAAAGGCACAAACCAAAGAACTGAAAGATGCACATAGCCAACGGAAACTGGCCATGCAGGAATTCTCTGAGATGAATGAGCGACTTACGGAATTGCATTCACAAAAACAGAAGCTTACCCGCCAAGTTAGAGATAAAGAAGAAGAGATGGAAGTGGTGATGCAAAAGGCAGAAAGCTTGAGACAAGAATTACGTAGAACAGACAGAATAAAGAAAGAAGTAAGTTTAATCCATCTCCCTCTCTTTCTCTCTCTCAAATTTTTAGAGCACCAAAAAATTTTAGAGCACCAGATTTACCTTAGTATTACACAAGAAAGTTCACTTAAATTTAAATTCATGTGTTTGTCTTTTAGTTAATTAAACAATGGTAATTGATAAATAATAGACTCTGCAATTCATTTTGAATCTTATACATATGCTTATTGACATCATCTTTATGATAGAATTATATATGCAGATGAATCCACAAGTTTCTGGACTTAGTAAGGAAAAGCAATGCTGAAAGGAACGTTTCTGATTTTAAAATTGTATTTGTAGCTGGAAGTTCATGCTGAAGCTGCAACTGCTGAGGCATCCAAGGACAGGAAGCTGCGTGAAAGAAGTGAGCAATATTCTAAGCAGCTGGAAAATGAATTAGAAGGACTAAAGGTTAGTCTTTACTGATTTCACCATTTTAAAGCGGATGAGTGTCTTTGTCCTATGTAGGGTAGGAGACTTGCAAGTTTGTGTATTATTATTTACAATAGCTTATTATGAGATGACTTTAAATTGAAGGCATACTAAAATGTATAGAAATCAATCATTCTTAACACAGCCGTTGTTCATGTAGATATTCATTAGATACGTAATCTCAAGGTATTTTAGTAATGTGTTTTCTTTTAGTTTCCTACTAAAACTTTCATGAGTGAAATGGTGCATGATAGGGCAAAACGTTTTGAACCAAGGCACCTCAAATGAGCTGACTTACAGAATACATCCAAAATCAAGGATCCATGGCAAATCTTATAAAGCAATTTGTGACATAGTATAAAATGTCATAAAACATTTCATGTGGTCAAATTCTGATGTTTGACTGGACTGTCCAGTTCAACATGGGCTACTTTCAAGGCAAAATATATCTGTGAATAATTTCCCTGAATTTTTAAGAACTTTTCAAGTGCTTTAGAAGCTTTGCTATTGTTGAAGGCATTGAGGAATGAGGACTCTGGTAAGGAAATAACTCTGAAACAATGACCCAAGGAGTCATGGAGCACCCCACCCACACCCACCCCGACAGCAGAATAATAATGAGCTGGCTTGAAATGTATTTCTGTGCATCTATTGGAATCCTATAATAGGAACTACTTTGCAGTGGTCTGTTTTCTATTGTTAATGCTGGAAGAATGGATAATTAAATTATGATTTGTTATGCATTTATCAAAGAGGAAACTCAGTTGAGAAACTACAGCAATCCAGGGAAATGCAGTTTATTACATTTTATTTTAAAATCAGTGTCAACCACAATTTCATTTTCATTTTTTCACCTTCTAGGATGAATTATTCCTATTTTATACCATATGTCAGAATTTTCCAGATCATAAAAGCTAATTCTGAAATGTCCCCCTTTTTAGCAGAAACAAATTGGTTGGTCTCCAGGGGTGAGCAGCTCAGAACATCAGCAGGAAATAACAAAATTAAAAGCTGACTTGGAAAAGAAAATAGTTTTTTATGAAGAAGAACTGTCTAAACGAGAAGTAATACATTCTAATGAATTAAAAAATCTGAAGAAGGAATTGCGTGATGCAGAGATCCAACAACTTGCTCTCAAAAAAGAAATTCTGATATTGAAAGACAAATTAGAAAAGACAAGAAGAGAAAGGTATGACGTTCATGTAAAATTCTTCTGTACTTGGATATTTTTATGATTTCAAAAAAGTTGATACAGCTGCAGATATTTATATGTGGATACCCAAATAATATTTTAGCCTAAAGTAACAAATTAATGTGTTTTATCCTTTGAAACAAAATTATTAGAAAATGAATAAAAAGATTCATTAGATTCAGTATGACCTGGCAGGATATATGTAACGATTGTATCTTAAATGTGTTGGATCTTTGCAACTATATACAATAAAGTATATCTTTACATAGCCTCTTTCAAACTACTTTACCTAAAAGATGAAGATGAAAAATAATGCACAATGATAGTAAATTACCTTGAAACAGGGGTTTACATATATATTTCATTCACTGTCCATATAGTTTGTATGTATCTGCCTCTGATTTTGGTTGAATTCAGAGTGTGTTTTTATAAATAAAGCTTGTCTCTATCCATGGTAGGTTATGATAAAATTCTCCTGCACGCATGCATGCTCCAGTCAACTGAGTGAAAGTGATGATGTGAGCAGATGGCACTGACAGAATACAGCGGGCAACTATGATTATTTACTTATCCATATCATTGATAAGGCAACTCTGGGTGGCTAACGAACAGTAGAAAAATAAATACAAAAACAAAAATTTAAAAACCATATAAAAACCTAGAATCAAGAAGATGGGTGGCACAGGGATGAGAACTTCTGCTTATCCCATCAGCTACCTCTGGTGGTATGTGCCCCCCTCAGGGTCTCAAGCCAATTGGTAAAACCAACTGTTTATACGCTTCCAGAGACCAAGAGAGACCAATAGAGTAGGAGCAGTTCTCACTTCTGGTAGTAGATTAATCCACAGGGCCAGGGCCGCAGCGGAAAAGGCTCTTCTCCTTGTCCTCACCCACTGAAATTCCTGAGATAGGGTCTGCAGCATGGTCCTTCTACTGGAGCAAGTGAGGTAGGCTAGTCCCATTGGGGTGAGACAGCTCCTCAAATACCCTGGACCCATATCACATATAGCGCTTTATCAGATTCTCCTCTTTTTTGCTCAACTGGAACATTCTGAGCAGAAGTCCATTCTGCTAATTACTTTTCTAGCAAAAACAAAATTTGTCCCAATTATTTGAATGTTGTTTTTATACATGTAAATATAGCAGTTTCTTTTGTAGTAGATTTCATTAAAATAGGATGAGTAAATATATTTTTGATTGATGGTATCTATTCAAAGAAACAGGACTTGGGCGACAAAATGTGCTTTATTATGTAAAGCATATTTAGATTATAGAATTAGAAGGGAAAGTTTAGGACCTTCTTTATGGAGGAATCTGTATTAAACAATTCCTAGAGCCAACTGTCTGACCTTCACATGAACACCTCCAGAAAGGTAGAATTTGGTTCCACTGCTGAATTAGTCTTATCAACAGAATATACTTTCCTACTATTTGAACTAGTATCTCTGCTCCTATAATTAATTTATATCTTGTAGAATAGAGATTTGGTTTTGATTTTGTGTGCAACATCCTTTGAGATAATTGAATCCAATCTCAATAATATTTTGTTCAAGATGAAATAGCACTCATTATACTTCTCAATAACTGCTCTAGTTTTTCTGAATCCTTCCTAGAATGTATTGTACATTTTTAGACATAGTACTCAAGATAAGGTTCTTTGCAACAAAGCATGACTTTAGTATAGAAGTTTTACACCCAGTGGATCTATCTATAACTTACTATTGTGATACCATGGGGATGCTATTGGATCATGACTGCTAATTTACAGTTATCAATTGTCCTGGATTTCAGCTGTGCAGGATAATTGTATTATACAGTACCTAGTTCTTAATAAATCACTTTATTGAATACTTGAATGGTTGGTGCTAGCCAAATTCTGTTCCTTGTGAATATTTCATATTCTGTTTATCAGAGTTATAATTTTATAATTGATAGTTTTATATTTATTTAGAAAAGAAATGCCTTGGATTCTGTAGAGTTGAAAGGATGTTATTTTAAAATAGTCAGGAAACACACTTGATAAAGTGACCAAAACAGATAATTTGTGAGAAATAAGCATCAAGTATCACTTCTGACATACAATTTTAATTGAAATGAATAGTATTTCAATTAAATACTGAATTTAATTCATTTATAAATGAATTTATAAATAAATGAATAGTAGGTGAAGTTTATATCTCAATCTCGATAATGTTCTTGCAATACATATTATTTTACTTTTATCTTTCTTCAGTTGTTTTTTCTGTAATTATACTGATATCAAGACATATCAAAGAAGGCTTTGCTTTGAGAGATATTTTTAAAATATCTAGCAAAAATGCTGTAAGGAGAAGACTAGTTTGTTGGAAAATAGGCAAAATGAAAGATTTTAATGGCTATTAAAGAACGATCAAGACAGCATTCTATTGTAAAAACAGTTTTTGAAAATGACTACTCAAAAAGATATGTACCACATTTGCTTTTTGATTTACATCTTCCGCTATTTTTAGACCAAAGGTGCTGAAATATAGAAGAAAATGTTGTCGGGATTGAAGCTTGAAAACATATCTATGTGGTGTCTAAAATTAATTTTCTTCTATTATATTTGAACCACCAAATAATTTTGAATTCAGATTTTCCCCTTGTACTATTCAGTTGCATTTCTTTCTACTGTCCTGTAGCTTCAATTGAAGCATTCACCATCAGATCTCTGAATCTGTCATCAGAGTTATTTATGTAAAGTTTCACATCGCATCTTTTATATATTGTAAAATAAAAGAATTTTAAAAATACTTCTAAAAAATCTGTGCTAAACACATATATCAAAATAAAGATGTAATCATATGCTTAATTTAAAGAACGGTGAACTGTTGGTTGTCTGAGAAGTTAGTCTTAAACCCCAGTCTGAGGCATAGCTGTGTGACCCATTATCCATTCCCCTGAGAGTTAATGCTTTAATCTTTGTTGGCTTTCCCCCAGAATGTTCATCATATGCATGGAATCTGTTAGTTGAAGAGAGGAGTGGATGGTGTTGGATTACAGATTCAGAGTTTGAACAGCAGTTATTAATATGCAACCCTGTTGGAATGAAGTGTTGTGTTTCAAATGATGCCTAGCAACATGCCAATTCAGAACTGGTTCAGATATGCCGTGTTGTATTTCAGAGACTGGTTGAAAAAAAATAATTTGAAGGCAGGGTATTTTGTTCCCTTTCTCTACATTTTATTCTCATAGTTAAACTGATAAACATTTCGGAGTATCTTTGAAGAACAATTATAAATTCTGTCCTAGAGACAAGCATAATTATAGAGATTGTTTAAGCATGATAGATTAAACAATCTTTTTTTCTCAGGTATCTTTCCCTGGTACCTTCAGTTCTTGCTAAGCAAAAATATATAAAATTATACTAATATAACACATTTATAGCTAGTAATAGCTATATAATAGGTAGGGACTAGAGGCAGGGATTTTTTTTGTCTCGTTTAACCATAGGGTTAAACAGTTTAACCATGGTGTGGGAAGGGAAATCCACAACATTTCATCTGTGGTTCATGTACTGAACTGAGGCCTATTTATTATAGCAGAATTTCATTCTGTTTATGCTATTTTAATGTAATACTTATGAAGGTTTTTTAAGGATTCATGGTTGTCATTATAAGACTGTAATATACTTTCAACTTCAATAAAATTATACTAGATAGATACCCAAAATTGCAAGAAAATGATGTCTACTTTTTTTGCCACAACCTTAGTAATTTTTGGGGTTGTGTTCATCCATAGAAATATGACATTTGGGGTTTTTTTATTTATTTTTTATGGAGTATAATCACAAGACAAGTTCAGACTAAACAATCAAATAAATTTTGTTCCATTAAAAATCCAGCCAGAAAGGCACAATTATAGCTTGATCCCAGTTATAAGTATTATTGTATCTCAAGTTCAGGTGCCCAATGGAGTTACTTTTTGGACTGTAGAGGAAGTTATCAGTTCAGCTTAAAACATATAAGAACATTTTTTATTCATAAACATTTGATATATGTGATTCATTTTCCCCCAATAAAACAAAGCAAATTCTATCAGGTAAAGATTGGAAACAAGTAGTGATCTGAAGCTGTTTTTGTGATAAGGAAATGCAATCTATCGTATAGTTAACCTTTTCAAATATCACGTTACGATATGAAAAAATGCAAAAAGGACAGTTTTCCCTAAGTGAAATAGCTTCTGTAATTTTTCATTTTTGTATATTGCCAACAATATAGTTAAAGTGCATTAAAAAGAAATGTGACTTGGATCCCACTGTCTTCCCACTATATTGTGCGTCACTGATTTCTCTCTTTTCAAAAGGATCTTCCAATCATCCCATAAAAAAATTTAGAAGCAGGGGAAAGAAATTCTCATTTCATTTTATAAACTGCAAAATTAACATTATTTATGCAGGTTGTTTAATACAAAACAGTTTGGAGACTGTTTTACAAGATTTTATGAGATATGTTTCTTCTCCCTCAACATACAGTTATTCAGTTGAAACAGGAATGTGATATGTTCACATTTCTTAGAAAAATTGTCTGTCCCTCTCACTTTTAAGTTTTTTCATGGCCTATAAAATGTTACTTATGCTGAAAATTAGGAATGTTCATATTAAAAAAGATTTCTTAATTATAAATGAGCATTTGGATGTTTCAGGAATTTTGTTATAATTAAATCAACTTTATTAACCTAATGGAAATCTCTATGCATCAAGCTTTTCAGCTTTTGAAACCATATATGGCAATTGTTTCTTTTGTACTGACTGGGATTTTGGAAACGCAGTGTTATAAAAATGAGTAAGCATATTGAATCAGAACATTTACTCTGAACTGTGATTGTTTAAATTCATAGACTATAATAATGAAACTGAAGGAATGTCATCCAGAATATCCATACAATATAATTCTCTCTGAAATTAAAGGGCTTTATTCAATGAAACCTAGACATATTTTGGTTATAATGATGCATATTTCAAACAATCCATATGTTTAAGGAATTTATAAATTGGAACCACAAACATCTGCTAACTTAAATTCTAATATTATATAGTGTTATTTTAGAGCGTATTGTATGGATTATTATATTCATTTTGGTCTTGGTTACTGTGGGATCTTAATATTTTTATGTATATTTTAAGTTGTAATGAAATATATATGAGGAAATTATACTTTATATATGATAACTATGTTGCACATTTTACCATAGCCAAAATGAAAGGGAGGAGTTTGAAACAGAATTCAAACATAAATATGAACGGGAGAAGATTCTGCTGACGGATGAGAACAAGAAGCTTTCCAATGAGCTTGACAAGGTGAGTGATATGTTATTCAATACCTATATACATTAATGTATTGAACAAAATTAGGTAAAGTTGATAATAGAATGTATTTATTTGTTTAGATTAGTGTGTATTGTCATCAGTCTTGCTCAGCACAAATCTGGGTAGCTAACAAAAATTTAAAAAAATAATACAAATAAGACAAAAATATAACATAGCTGGCAAAGAAACAATGCCACCAAGAAACATAGGCTCACCTATTCTCCTGATACATATGCCCAGAAAAACAAACAGCTCTTAAGAGTTTACCAAAAGGCCAGCATGTTTGGGTTGATCTTGGACAGTACAGTGTTCCCAGGGACAGGTGCTGTGACAAGAAAAGCACACTTTTGGGATCTCACTGGATGACATTTTCTACTCAATGGGACCTTTTGCCAGATTTGATGCGATTAGTAGAGTCAGTTGGAGAAAAGGCTTTATAAATAACAACCAACACCTTTAATCTATCCAGAAGTAAACTGGAGGTCAATGAAGCAAAGAAGTAATGTAGTAGGATGAGCCACCACATTCTGAACTTTTTGTAATTTCCACATGTTTTTCAAGGACAGCAGCATGTAGAACACATTTAAGTAATCAACTTAAGAGATAACCAAAACATGAGTTTTGGTACTCATTGCCTCTTGCTCCAAGAAAGGTCACAAATGGTGCACACCAGAAGGTTGTACAAATGCTCTCCTAGCCACATCTACCATCTGCTCCTCAAATAGGAGCCATGAATCCAAAAAGACGCTCAAGTGGTATACTAGTTTTGCTTACCTATCCAAAATTAAAGATGGAAAATTGCCAGTTCCAGATAGTCCTAAAATCCCAAACCACTTAGTCTTATTGGATGAGTTGAAACCTGTTCTTGCTGAAGTAATAAAAAGATATTGAGCATTTGCCTAAATGTTTTTATGTTACAGTGTTATTTTTACAGACAGTATATCAGTAATGACACTGAAAAATTTCACAGAAAGACACCTGAAAAATAAGAGACTACATAATAAATATATGTAACATGTAAGAAACCTCCTGGGGCAATACATATGTGAATGTAATCAGTGCCTCATTAAATCTTTGATAAGCTCAGAAGAAAGCACTTTCAAATCACTATTGCAGAATCATAATTGTGATTATAATATTCTTTAAATATATATTTAGCTTACAGCAATGTATGAAAGGCTAAGTATGAGTAATCGACAACTTGAAGAAGAGATGAGAGATCTTGCTGACAAAAAAGAATCTGTAGCACACTGGGAAGCCCAGATTACTGAGATCATCCAGTGGTAAGGTTATTTTTCTGTTTGTGACTCCTGCTGTAAGGTACATTATTTTTGTATAACAAAAATAATTTTGCAGTTTTGTCATCTATTTTGACCCTTCTGATAATCCCAACTCCACTTAAAAGAGCAAAATCATATTTCACAAAGTTCTTGATCTTTCAGTAAGTCATAAGTCATACCTAAGAGAATTAATCTCACTTGCTTATATTTCATTACTTGTATTAGTTTCATGAATGAATATATAATAGAACAAGAGTAGTTAAAAACCTTGACTCATTATGGTCCCTAATTTTAAAATATTTTAAGTGATGAAACATAGTAGATACCCTTGGCACTTCCCTTAAAAAGAAACTAACAGCATTGAACGCAAACTGATTTTCCACTAAAAATGCTTATATCAAATAGACATCTCTCTGAGTGACAAAGCTAAGAGTGAAAACCAGGGATGAATTCAGAATTGTTCATGGAAAAATACTTTTGCTGTAATCTGTTGTCCCATTTTTTTATATTTAGGTCTAATTTTAACAATCTTTTCCACAAGTCATTTAACATTTATCAACCTAACATATTTTCATCTTGCTTGCTTTCATAGCAGCTGTGTAATTTATTTTTTATTAAAAATAGATAAACAGAGGTCTTTTCGAGAAGCATTTAGCTCATCTACATTTTTATTTGTAATGTAACTTTGCTATCCTTATATAGAAATAGTTCTCTCTCTTTCTCTCTCTTTTATATGGCAGGACAATTTGTATCATTCTGAAAAACTTGGATTGGTCCAAGTAGGTTACTTACATTTGTGAACTGACATAATTTAAACCTAAGACCATGATGCATGTTTATTTTTACAGCCCGACTTATAAGCAAAGCAAAAAAAAGCTACATAATTTGAATTCTTTTTTGACCTTTGCTATAAATTAAGTTTTGGTTTCAAGAAAAAAATATAACATTGATATATAACTGGCAGTAAATCTATATTTTACTCAGTCTCATTCATTCATTGGAAACATAATCTTATTGATAAAGATACATCTGCTTTCTAAAAAGGAAAATTGAAATATAATAGATACTCCTTGATTATTAAAATTATTCAGGAGAAAAGGATAATGGGTTTCAGAACTCAGAACATAAAATTGTTTCCTCAAAACAACAGACATTCCAGAACGGAGGAGAGACAGTCTTGGATTTTGGAATGTTCCATTTCTCACATGTGGATTTTTCTTTGATCACAGGGGACCCAACTATTGAATAGATTCACACTGTCAGTTTAAGTCTCTCAGAGAGTCCCAACATTAATTCTTCCCCAGCTAACTAATCAGACATTAACTATGCAGCAAAGAATGATTACATGCTAGCAGCAGACTCAGAAGGACATAAAGAGGGAGAGAAGGAGAGGCACTGGTATATTGAACCCAGGGTTCTGATTGTTCTTTTCTTTTACTAGTAACAGTAGTAAATAGCAATATTGCCTTCATCACGTATTTCTCTAAAAAGACAACTACTTGCCTCAACTATTTTTAATTACTCTTTTTATATGCCAATTTATATTACTTGGTGCTATTGTTCTGGGGTTAATACAAACATTGCTTTGGATTGGAGGGAAAAGATGCATTTACTTGATATCTGCATTTAATAGCATTCCTGCATATAATATAGTTCCTTTGGACTCTTCAAATAAACCATTAAGCTTTTAATTTTCCCTGGGGATTCTGCCTTATTCTTAAACCTTAAATTTACTTATAAAAATCTTCATTCAGTGTGAGCAACCTTATTTTTCTCCTATGTTCAGCCTTCCTAATATTTAAGCTATTCCGAACCTTCTCCACTTTTTAATATATTTTACTATTGCAAATACCCAGAAATAGGGGGAAGGGGGAGCATGATCTGATCTGCTACTAAGAACATTTGCATATTTAATTCATAATATTTTTGCCTCTTCCAAAACAAAATCTCATTTTAATTCTAATATGCCACACTCTGATTCCTGCAGGACAAATCTACATCCAATGGACCCATATTGTCAATCATTGTTGCTATAATGATTTCCCTCTAAATTGGTAACTTCATTATGATCACAACTCCAGTGTTGCTTTGACTTTTTCATTAAATTAAAGTATTTTTATTCCAATGTAGTAGTCATAAAATAAGTAAAGAACAGAGAAAAAAAACCCTTTCATATTAAAAATACATAAGTCATAGTAAAGTCATAATAAATTTTGTCTTATGCTATGAATAGTTAGAATCAAACTGATGCAATTCTATTATAAAATAGTGAGAAATTGTCATTACAAAGATGCATATTTTCCCCTAATGTCAAAAGGTATGTCACATATATTTACATATATTTTTGAATTTATCTGTCTTTATTTAGAAATAATGAGATCAGCTACTGAAAACTAGTAGAAGCAATCCAATGGTTATATTGAGCCAAGATTCCTAAACCAAAAGGGCTTTACATAAAACAATTATGCTATTTCACAATTTAATCACAATTTTAAAAATTTGTGATTCTTTACCAAGTTACTCAATATGTGTATATCCTGCATAAAGATGAGTGTTAATTGGCTATCATACAGTAATTCTGAACAATTGATTTAGTTGTAATATGGAATAAAATCACAATTAAGATTGTTTCAGAATTGAATTGAAAAATGAATAATGCATCTATGCGGAGAAAAATGTGTCCTTGATTAAGGATAAAGATGTACAATGTACATCTTAAGATGTAAGTTGGTGCAGTTACATCTGTTCAAGGGAATGTATTTATTATCTTGGCTGTGATTCTAGACATCTGTTTGCAGAACTCCATATGGAATTTTATTGATGATCAGATTCTATATAAAATTACTATCTTGCAAGTCAGGATAATTCCATTTCTAATTTATGTTATCATATTCATTTGTTGGTTACAAGTCACCCTAAAATCAACCTACATTGAGGTTGATTGGATCTATTTTTGGATCTATTGGATCTATACACTGGATCTATTTTTGTATTGGGTAATTGATATGTAATTTGAGGGTGTAAGATATTGAATCAATCCTTTATGATGGTGAGATCTCTATCTGAGTTGTCTGAATTTTGCAGCTATTCCTTAGCTCCATAATATGGGCACATCCACTACAGTGGTCTGCCTTAGCTATTTTATGGATTTCATTGGTTTCCAACAGGTGTTTGGAGAGTTTCCCAGCAGACTGCTTGGCAATTCTGTGAAGAAAGTACTTAAGATCTAGAATACCAGATTACTTGCTTGATAGGATTGCCCCAAATGATGTCCTCTAGAATGCCATTCTTGGTTTACTAGACCAAGTTCAAATGTATATTGTGGCAGTAAGAACCATCCTGCTTTGCTTTCCCCATTTTTTTAATTTTACTTTCAAATGTAATTATGTCCAAAGACAGCCCTTAGCTTTTCTAAAGTTCTTAATCTGTTCATATTTTACTCAGGGTGAGTGATGAAAAAGACGCCCGAGGTTATCTTCAAGCGTTAGCTTCCAAAATGACCGAAGAACTAGAAGCGTTGAAGAGCTCCAGCTTGGGTGCAAGGGCAACAGTAAGCTTTGGATTTTCCACCTGATTCTGATTCTGCCATGATTGCCCATTAGGAGCAGCTGGTGGCGAGGAATTGCTGCCCGCGGGGCGCTCCTAACGGCAAGTCCCCCCGCCCTTCCCCCAATTTTGCATGTTTTAAAATAGGCCTAAATTTGGGGGAGGGGCTTAATTTGATTTTATGCCTAGAAAACATGCTGGGTCTTCCTATTGGGGGAGGTCATATTGTTGGAGAAACACGGTAGGCACTTATATCCAGGCACTTAACTTCTTATTCACTATGTAGTTTTCTAATTCAGAAAAATCATTGAATGTCTATATCATTTTAAATTATGGCAAAGTATAGCATGAAAATATTCATAAATACATAGTTTAGATTTTTCTTTAAATTCTTTCTCCCAATTGTTTTTAAACAAACACACCTATAAGAGAACTCCACTTGCTTGTGCCACTATTTGTGGTAGTGGTGTTGTTATTAAAATTGTATCCTTTTATTTGTAAACTTCATAGGAACTATACATGGAAAACAACATGGAAAAAAACCTATGTAAACTATGTAAACTACCTTTACAGTTCTGTTAGGTTTTCTCTTTGGTTCTTTTTTTAATTCATGCAATTATCATATGCCCTTAGCTGCATCTGTAGAACAAGTACATAATTCATTACATTTTTTAAAAATCCATTAGATCAAGCGTCCCCAACCCCCAGTCCGAGGACTGACACTGGTCCACAGCTTGCCAGAAACCAGGCTGCACAAATAAGCAAAGACCCCAACCACAGGATGCAGGCAGCACACGAAACCACATCCCCTCCAGTCCATGGAAAAAATTATCTCCATAAAACCCAAGAGCCCAAAAGGTTGGGGGCCACTGCACTAGAGAATAATTATGAAATAATTATGAAATAAATTTGTGTGAGAGGATAAGAGAGACAGAATAATATTTTTCTCAAAAAATGATTTTTTTCTCTCTCTGTAAACAAGTCTTTTAATGCTTAATGTAGTCTTTGGCAAAAATATTAAAATAAAAAATACTTTTTATTTTTTATTATATTATTATTTAATATTATAAGGAGCCTCTGTGGCGCAGTGGTTAGAGTGCAGTACTGCAAGCTACTTCTGCAGCCAGCTGCCTACAATTTGGCAGTTCAAATCCCACCAGGCTCAAGGTTGACTCAGCATTCCATCCTTCTGAGGTGGGTAAAATGAGGACCCAAATTGTTGGGGGCAATATGCTGACTCTGTAAACCGCTTTGAGAGGGCTGTAAAGCACTATTAAACGGTATATAAGTCTAAGTGCTATTGCTATTGCTATTTATTACATTTATATGCCAATAGGGAGACTATATTAGCCTAAGTTTCTTGCCAGTGAAACCATAATTTTATTACTTAGACTAAAAAAGGTCATGCTTTCACTGATTAAAGTGGAGTGGGAAATTGTTGGCTCCTTTTCCTTACACCCTTCTTGGAAAGCTCCAAAAAGCTCAAAGATCCTCCAGAGTCATGGAGAAGTGGCCAAATAGCAAAGCCAACAAACTTCCACCTTCAACCTCCCTTTCCTTCCACTGGATTTTGGTCCATTATATAAACGATAACTATCATATCAAAAAAATGACAGCTCTGGATCCACCCCAATATCTACTAAAAGAGATACTATAATTTTTGTTAGAGTTTTAAATATTAAAGTATCATTAGAAGACATATTAGCTAATAATATCTAAAAACATTTTCTTTGAAGGACATGCCTTGGAAGATGCGTCGCTTTGCAAAACTAGATATGTCTGCAAGGTTAGAGCTACAATCAGCCCTTGATGCAGAAATACGAGCCAAGCAAGCCATTCAGGAAGAGTTAAATAAAGTTAAAGCTTGTAACATTGCAACAGAATGGTAAGATTTAATGATTCCTTTTAAGATTTTAAGGCAGCTTGTGATATTTTCTTTTGAGAGTCATCCTGATAAATTCTACATTGTTTGTGGTTTCAGAAATTGAATATAATAGTTTGATGGCCTGCCATAAAATGTCCAATTTTCTGTGTATAATTTGCAATTTATTTGAAAACTGTTTCCTGAAAACAATTGAAAGACTTCAGCTAAAAACTATCTCTTATACTAAATTAGGAAATTCTTTATTCAGGATTCCTCTTTAGAAGTAGTTATTAGAAAACAATATAAAATCTTTCTCCTTCCTTCCTTCCTTCCTTCCTTCCTTCCTTTTATTCATCCATTTATTTGTTTATTAAGAAAGTTATATGGCCATCCAACACAGTGATATTTCAAGGATTTATAGAAGTAAAACACCATATGCAAAACCTAATGGACCCCTACTATTTAAAACAAAAGAAATATTAGTTGTATTAAAAAGCAATTGGAATGATAAGAGTGCTTCATAGTTTTTTCCACAATAAATCATGCTATATAATATTCTTTGACATTAGAATGCAGTTTGATAATCCTGCTTTTTATATGATGAAAATTTTCTGCATAGAGTAAATCATTATATAGAACATAGTTTAAAATTTTGATTCATTAGAATGATGTTTATGTATCTTTAAAAATGTTAAAGTAAGCATGAAGTTCAAGAATAGGTATGTAACCCATAATTAGAAAAAAAGACAAAACTTACTTCACAATGTAATAATTCAAATCCCAGTCTTTTTATACGTGTCCTGACAGAACAAAAATACATAAGTCACATTTTGTCTTTTGGTCTTCTGCTCCCCACTGGCAGGCATATAATGACTTGGATAACAGTGTATCACCTTGTCTTTTGCAAGGTTACCAGCCATGTGCTTTTTTATTAAGAAGATTAATAATTTACAAATACAGTTCTGGGACCCCCAAAGATATCCTTAGAACATAAAAGTGTGAGTTTTTGCAACTTTGTATTTCATATAAAAGTGCAAAGGAAAAAAATTACAAGGGTCAGTTGGTGGGTTAGAGATTGGGCATCTGGACAACTGGAGGTTTGCACTATGACAATCATACTATAATCATTCATAGCACATAAGTCTTCCCTCTATTCTGCCTGCTTGTTAGAAATTATCATGGAACTATCACAATCCAAATCGATAATTTTAAACTAATCATAAAATCATCTTGTTCCACTGAGTACTTATAAAACAAAATCATGAAGCAAACAGAAGTCATTATTTTCCTTTTCAAGCTTACTTATTGAAATCAAATGCTTTTGTCCATTTTTATGTTATCTTTTGTTTAATAGCGAGACTTTAGTGGGGTTTTCCTAATTGAAGGATGCTGCAGTCAATTTTCAAACATAACCACATCACGGTCCTTACTAACTCTTTTTGTTTCGTTTGTGTAAAGCAAATTACAGGAATCTGAAAAGAAGAACTCCGAGCTGTTATCAGAAATAGACAGACTGAAAAAAGAGGCAGAAGAACTTCAGTCAGAAAAGGGTACGGGAACTGACATCCAAATAAAGTTGACTGGTGGTGGGTACATCTTATCAAATCAGAATGTCCACTTACAGACTGCTGACAGAATCTGTATTTTGAAGATTCTGACTCTTGAAGTGTCATCATAGCCCTGGCATGATAAGATGTACCCACACAGCTGTTATAAAATTAAAATTATCTTATGTACTCTTGGCATACTTGAAATACATTTTTTCAGATTGTGTTTTCGTTTGTGCATTTATAGTCACTGTATTAGCAACATGCAATACCTTATAGTTTTATCTTCTTAAGAGAAGGTGATTCTTAATTTATTCTTCAGTTGGCAAGTACTACTCAGACATCAGATATATAGGATAGAAAAGAATATGTATAAAATGCATAGCCTTTTGATCTTTTATCATTATAAGCTAGAATCCATGTACTCAATTAAGATTTAGAAGTTGTCCAAAGTAAATGAGTTCTCTAAAGCAAAGTAAAGGAAGTTTAATCTATTGATAATTGCATTAATATAATTGAAAATGTTGGTTGATTTTACTATTCATTCTAAGGAAGAGAACTACACACCCACACATCCACACCAGTATTTTCTTCATCTGATGTCTCTTGGGAAGAAACAGCTAAGAAAGCAACTATAGAGCAATATCTTAGAATGTGAGGAGGCCTGGAAATGGACGTCTAAATGTGATAGAACCAGGGGTGGGATTCTGCCAGTTTGCACCTATTCGCTAGAACCGATTGTTAACATTCTAAGCAGTTCAGAGAACCGGTTGTTAGAAGAAATTACTGGCCTAATCCTGTAAGGAAAGACAGGAAGGAAACATTCTGGTGTTGCTTACAGAAACTGCCTCTCCGTTAGCCCTTATTACATTCTTGGCAGGACTAGACTTCCTGTCTCAGGAACTTCTCTGCAGTGTTTTTTTCCCTTCTTTGCTGGTACTTTGCTTGTGTGGAGTGACCATTCAAAGTTACAATGGCACTGAAAAAAGTGACTTATGACCATTTTTCACACTTACAACTGTTGCAGCATCCCCACAGTCATGAGAGGCCAGGCGAGGAGATGCATGCCTTGATGTCAGTGATATTGAGTTGGCCACACCCAGCCAATAACATGACCACCAAGCCATGTCTACCCAGTCACATGACCACCAAGCCACGCCCACCACCTAATCCACGCCCACAGAACCGGTTGTTAAAAAATTTGAATCCCACCCCTGTATGTATCCCACCTATATATGTTTATAAAAATCACACATTTCAGTTTGTGAATGGAAATTTTACCTTATTCAAATTATCCTATTTTAAAACAAATTTACCCATCACAATTCAGAAGCAATATAGCATCAGGGATGAAGATTTAAAAGTACTATAGTGTTGTATTAGCACTTGTAAGGCAAGGTGAAAAATAGATCTCAGGGCCAAATAGGCCCTGAGATAGGCTGCATACTGAGGATAGGTTTCAGTTTTGTTTTTTGTATTGTGTGATCATTGCTGGACAAAACAGATGTTACTGGTTTGTTTGCTTATTACAAAACAATTTACATATCCCTGTTTAGAGTAGCATTCAAGCCGTCTTATATCAAAGGGTTTTAGTTCAGAGCCATATGCAGTTGAATTTTAATTTCTCTTTTGCATATCCTATTCACTCCTTCATTTTAATCCATACAGTGTTTCTCTCTATCTCCTGAACCTGGCCCTCCAGTAGATGGGAAGCAGATAGATAGAAATAGATTAGCATTTATTTCTGATTTCCAATAATTTAACAATAGTAAGTAAAATGCATGTAAAAAAATCAGAAGAATTTTCTGACATTCATTCAGATTCAGGATTCCTTTCTTATTAAGTAGATATCTTTAACTAGCTCTACATACGATTTTAGAACAACTATAGAATTCCAAATTTGTAAGTCAGATGTGTAGAAACGTCAATTCTGCAGCTCATGTATAAATAACACCTTTTTTAACAGTATTTTTCATCTCTAATTTGAATGTGAAAAATCATCCCTTTTGATGCCTAATTCCACATTTTTATTATTTTATACTTGATTTGACTTATGGATCTTACATTTGTAATTAAAACCAGGAAACACCCCTCCCCCCCAAATCACATTAAACAATTGCCTTACTGCCCAAACCTTTTCACTTTTATATTTCAGCATTACTGAAAGCATGCTTGCTGTTCTTCTATAGCATGCTTGCTGTTCTTCTATACATCAGGGTTTATAGCCACCAATCCTATAGGATGCTTGTTCTACATAAAAGAGTCAAATGTCAAGTTTGCCTTGAACCTTCCGTGTTGAATTACTGGGTGTAAAGTTGCCAATTGTGGGAACCCAAAATTGGAGTTGCTGCTATTAAGTATTCTTCCAGATTTGTGCAGTTTAGAACTGGTAGCCACAAACTCAACCACCAGATGGTTTAAGAGGCTTACAAATCTTATACTAATGTGTATCTTGTTGGACACATTTATCGTATGCAAATACTGGATTGCTTAGTTGTATCAACCAGAAAAAAATGTATCAATACATGGTAGAAGCTTATTTGTTTAAAATAATTTCTCATCTTTGTAGAATAAGTGCTTTGGGATTATGTTCCTGTTGCTGCAAGAAGGATCAGATTAGTTTTAAACAGAAAATACTTATTCAACAGTCTCTCTAATTTCCTTCAATACAGTAGAGAAAAGTCTCCAGGTTAAGGCTGACTCCTGATAGCTTTAGGGAATACTGATGCCATTTTCTTGGTAACAGTGCAAAAGTAGTTTGCCATTTCTTTTTTTCTGAGATGTTTTTAACTCTCAATCTAATCTGTAGTTTGGGGATTCCCTGATAGTGTGCTATTCAAATGCTAATCAGGCTTGTCCTTGCTTAGCTTCCAGTCTCAAACAAAATCAGCTGAGTTATATTGAATAATAACAAGATTTTTGCTGGAGTTTTTATAGAGACACTCATTTTTTTCAGCAGCAAGCAAGTTTTTTAATCTCTTTCCTTTCTATTTTGAACACTGGGCATGAGGGAACACACGAATGGAACCTATACAGACTGTGAAACAGAAAATTTCTCAGTAAAAACTGAAAGGAAAAAATGCTTTAAATCATGGGTATTTCTTATGTGTCATAGTAGGTAAAGAAAGTATGTGTTATTTATTTATTTGTTTGTTTGTCTGTTTGTTTATTTATTTGCTTGTCACATTTTTGAACCGCCCATCTCCCTCAAAGAAGGACTCTGGATGATGTACAATAAAATCAGTTGTGACATAAAATTTTAAGTCCAGTTTCTCATGTTTTAATTGGGGAGATCTTATGTAACAATTGGTATGAAAATTCAGCAACTGGGAATAAGAATTTTCTTTTAATCCTGAAAGGACCATCCCAGAAAGTGGTTCCCATGAATTTATCCTATTATATTAAAGATCTGGCAGTATACGGGTTACCAAGACTGATTCTACAGGGACTTAAATCCAAGTCCTCCCAGGAAAAAAAAAATCCATAATATCTTTTGGGAATAATCTGATCTTAAGCAGAAAGCAACAACTCAAGAACAGCAACAAGTAGATAAGTATGTGGATGATTGTTTTCTGTTGATTAAAATCATGCTACTGTTTTTTAGGAGTGAAGCATCAAGACTCACAAAATTCTTTCTTGGCATTTTTGAATGCACCTACCTCTGCTCTGGATCAGTTTGAAGTAAGTAATTTGATTTATTTCTTAATATTTTGATGTTACAAAAGGAGGAAATTTATGGTCACTACTGCTTTGAAATCATAACTGCAGTTATTATGCTGCAAAAAACATTCAAAATATTTTGATTCATAAGGAATATTATTTACTTCTTTTGTCACTTCCTGACATTGTCATGTTAGTTGTAAAAAGGAGAATATTAAAAGTATTTGTATGATGCTTTTAATGCAGATTTCCTATGTGCAAGCCTAAGCTGTATTTCAAATACAAGACAGAAGAGCTTTCTTTTTTGCCATTTTTTAAAGTCTTGAAACTTAACCCTAAAATGAAACATCTGTAATATTTTCAGATCTAGAATTAATCCTCAGCTAACAACCACTCCTGCAGTGACTGAGGCTGAACGAATAGTAGGATATGGACACTTGGCAACTGGCTCACACTCATGACAGTTGTAACATTTAATGGTTATCTGATGCCAATTTGTGATCTTCTCTGCGGTTAGGAAGCTAACACAGAAGGTCACAAGTTGCTTGGATAAGTCTCCCACACCTGACAGTAGCCACCTGAAGCCTTGCAGTGCTTGCACCAAGACACACCAGGCCATTGTGCACCGTAGGGTGCCCTTTCCACCTTATTTATCTCTGGATACAGTTCCATTCATGGACATAGTATAACAAAGGTATTAAACATTTCTGAAGTAGAGAAAAGAAAGAGTTGTATATTAGGGAACTAGGACAGAGATGGATTGTAGCCTTCACGGGGAGAGGAAGATGATGATGGCAGGAAGGTGAGGCCTAAGGAAAAGGTACTTAGAAGCAATAATTCACTGATGAACCAAGTTGATGCTAATGTATGTCCAATTAAATATAGCTTATCTATCAATATATTTACTGTTTGGTAGTCCTGTGTTTCGATATTAAAACATGCTATGACAAAATAATGCCAATAAATTTTATATTCTCATTACAGGTAATCCTCAACTAACAACTGGTCATTTAAGGATTATTCAGAGTTATGATGGTCTTGGAACAGATGCTTTACAACCTGTAAAGCATTTCCAGCTATCATAAAACGTCATGAGCCCTCATAGTTATATGACTGCATTTGGGGCACTTGGTATCCATCTTCATTTTGCCACCAGTTTCTGGCAAAAACTGTGGTTCACTTAACAACCACAGTGATTCACTTAATGACCATCATAAAAATGTCAAAAATATAGGTCCAGTCACGTGACTGCCATGATTTACAAGTAGATTTCTAGTCCTAGTTGTGATTGTAAGTCGAGGACTACCTATAATGGTTGTTTTGTTATCTGATCTGATCTTTTGTTTTTAGTGTGAGTGAAAGAATATTCATTATTTGTGGATTACAATTAGTTACAAAACTGCAGAAGTTAAGCTGAACAAAATAATCTGTTAGTCATTTCCAGTTTTTCTTTATTTGATATCTCAATGGTATGGTGATACAGTTGTTTTCACAAAACAGACATTTTCATCTATCTATTTCTGTTTCTTTACTGCTGTATGCATTAAAATAGGATTCCTTTTCTTCTTCATCTTCTTCTTCATTGATTGATTTTATGGATGACGTAAGTCTTTCATCTCCAAATCCACAAATTATTCAGTAATAAAACAGATTTGATTTGGCAACTTCAGATGGTAATGCAGTCATCTTAAACCATCAAGAGCATGAAATTCAGCAGGTTCTGTGCTCCTGATGTGTCCGTGCTGTACAGTTTTCAGTATAAGTTTTCATGGCATGGGCTAAAGGTTTTTGCATATGTGTCTTTTCATTTGCTATTTGAAGGAACTGAGATGCAAGACATGACTTGTTTCAAGGGAACCACTCACACTCATTCTGGCCTGTTATTGATATTGCTTGATCAAAACTATACTGTTAAAATTGGCTTCTACAATTCTGTGTTCACTATAGCTTGGGATGAGTGTGAATATATGTTTCATTCACATGCATGTCACTTTCTTAAGATTTTTTTTTCTCCTGGTCAGTTTAAAGTCATATACCAGTGACAAATTTTTTATCAAGTATATGTGGAATAATTATGTCAGTTGTATTGTAGATACAAAATGCAGTGCTGTAGTGCTCCTATTTACAGTAATGTTTTTCAGTATGACTGTCCTCACCGTAAAGACACTGGAGGATATTGTTCATCATTTTTGAGATTGGATTATAATTTTTGCATCATGAAAAGATATCCCAATAGTTCTATATTCAAAATAATTTAACAAATATGTTATCACATTCTCAAAACAAAGGTCATACAGTCCAGGTTTTCAGGAGACTGTAGAGTTGGTTTTAAAAAGACAAGTTTCTGATGGAATTGATGAAATAATGATTAGGTTCTTTCATCCATATTAATGCTTCTGAAAACCTTTAATTCTAAAATAGGTTGATTTCAGTAGCTGGAAAAAAGTATGCATCCTTAAAAAGTAATCAATAGGTTTTAGGTGCTTTGTATGAATAAATTAATGGCTTTGTATAATAATAGTAATACTAGCCTTCAGTTTGCAGCAATAGCTGACCACAAAAGAAGCAATTTCTATGTATTCCAGATTTAAAATAGCTTTTGTGGTATATAAATATGGGTTTAAAAATTTACGAGCACATTTGTCAAAGTATTCAGATTACAAAACTAACATAATCTACACGCCTCTTTTTTCAAATAGTCCAGTGTCTTTAATTGATAATAGCTCCGATTAATATATTTATTCTTAGTCATGTTTACAGACTACTTTTATGTAATATATCTAATGGTGATCTATATGTAGCATTTAGTCTGAAAGCTTAAAAGTGATCTAATGTCACTCAATGAATCACATTGCTGAACAGAAATTGAACTTGGTTCTCATTCCCACTTTAAACACTACTTAGTCTGTTTCTCAAAAGTAAAGCAATCCTGGAACAAAGATAGGGGAGATACACACACACACACACACACACACACACACACACTGTGAATGTGTGATTTTCCTGGAGAAAATTGTTGCCTTTGGGCCAGTAATTGGAAGAAGTTCTGCACACTTATTAAAATAACACTAGCCATCTTTCGTTCTACACTAGCCATCTTTCTTCCCTATTTAGACAAATGGAAGAAGAAAGTAGAAAGGATCTAAAGCTTACTCAGAACCTTATGCTGCCTTGAAATTTTTATCTAGCCTGCGGGCCTTGTGAAAGACAGTAACAGAATATTAATATTTTCTTGTCTATAGCATTAAAAGTCCCAATGTGCCTAACAAATGTGAATACTGATAGCTAACTTATATTCTGTTTTTAAAATCATTTCTTCTAATATTAGATCATGTCTCCCCCATTTCTGTAAGATCAAAATAGTCTTGTCAAAACAAACTTCTTCAGTAGCTAAATTGAGTCTAAACAACTTGTGTCTCACAATTCTACATAGTTTATTAACTATGTATTTGTTGACCACAGAACAGGATTAAAGCTGACTAAATTTCCAAGTTTTACTGAGCACTTGGACATTATTGATTATTTAGCAAGTCAAAATACTTGTGCTAAAAGGCTGTTATATAGCTTCTATCTTGCTCTAAAGATTCCTTATTTGTTTACCATAGTCAGAGTTGAATTTAGGGCTTCCTGGTTTATTGAGATTAATGGTTATGTTGCCTATAAAAAAACTATATTGCCCAAGCATCAGAATTGGCATAGAACTGGAAAGAACCTGGTTCCTGATTTTGACAGAAAAACACCCAACATCTGTCAGATTCCACCCACCCACCCACCCCGTTTATGGCAACTTGAAAACAGGCATAGGAATGTTTTGAGTTGACAACACCTTTGTAAAGTGACTTTTTTGCACCTGCTCCCCCCCACCTCAAACTGCAGTACTTCAGGCAAAGCAAAAAACATTTTATTAAGATGGGGGTATCAAATCTTAATATAAGATTCAGAAACAAATAATAAATACATTCAATATATATGATGCATCAGAAAGCAACAAATTAAACAATAAAACCCATTGATAAGATATGAAAAGGGACTGATTCCTCTTAAAATATGTCATATCACCTTCTTTCCCACCTGTTTTGTTTCTTCAATACTAGCAACACCTTAAGGACTTCAGAATGTTCTTTTGCATATAAAAGGAAATTACTTTGGCTAAAAAAAATAACATGGTTTCTTAAACTTCAAAAAGAGGCACAGATGCCGTGCTAAAATGCTAATACAGGTAGTCCTCAACTTACAACCTCGACATTTATTTAGTGACTGTTTGAAGTTATAATGGTACTGAAAAAGTTATTTGCAAGCAGTCTTCATATTTACAACCATTGCAGCATTTTCTATAGACAGATGATCAAAATTTGGGCACTTGACATGTATTTAGGATTGTTGCAGGGTCCCAGAGTCAAATGATCGCTATTTTGCAACCTGGCCTGCCAGTTTCTGACAAAGTTAATAGAGAAACTCCAGATTCATTTAACAGCCAAATGATTCATTTAATAATTGCATGAATCATTTAACAAACATGGCAAAAAAGTAGTTAAATCAGGCATTACTCAACAGCTTTGCTTAGCAGTGGAAATTCTGGTCTGAAGTGTAATAATAATTTGAGGACTACATGTATCACCTTTATTAAAAGGCTAATAATAACAATTTGTATAAAGTTATATTACCTTACATAAGCTCTGAAAGACCAGATAATAAATATTGTTTCTTGCACTTGTAATAAAACTTTAAAATCTGATGTGACTCGGAATACATTGTTGCATTTAATATGTAAGTTTTTTTTAAAAAAAGTGTAAAGTAGTGTTAGTAAAGAGAATAAATTATGACTGAGACTCCCAAAGGTGCTTTTTCAAGAGGCAACTGGACTTTCTGGTTTTTCTTTGAAGAAGTTTCAGTCCTCATCCAAGAAGCTTCTTAACAGGATGGTAGGGAAATGGTGGGGGGATGGTCAGAGCTGAAGAAGCTTCTTGGATGAGAAGTGAAAAAATGTCTTCAAAGAAAAAACAGAAAGTCCACTCATCTCTTGAAAAAGCACCTTTGGGACAACCATGACTTGGATGACTGAGATTCTCCATAGACATATAACTGAGACTGTAGCAGACAAAAAAAAATATTTTCCCCCATTGCAGTCCTTAAAGAAGCTGCCATTTTCTTTTGAGAAATCTCATCATGGAGTGCAGCAAGGAAAGTCTGCTGCAATCCCAATACAGTAATGATCTACCTATATTCCTGATAATATTTGCATTTTTTTAAGAAGCAGAAGAGCATTTAATAAGAAATTATTTCATCTAAAATAGAATTTTGTTTAGACACGTGATGTTGTAAAAATGATGTTTGAAAGTAGTTGGGTTTTTTTGTGTCTTGATGTTTCTTCTGATTTATGTTATCACGATACACAAATCTCTGTCTCTACAGTGCAAAATGATACCAATCTCTGTACAGAAATGTGGTTTGAAGGAATGTATCTTTCCCTTGTTAACAGTCTCCTCCTTTCTCTGTTAAAGCGCTCTCCCTCCTGTATTCCAGCCCACAAAGGCAGACGTGTAAGAGGATGTCTTGTTGTGTGTTGGCTTTTAGTTTGTCATATCATGGACATGGCTTTGCCTTCATTCAATGTAGACCATTTTCCTTGATATTTTTACGGCTTGCGTATTTACCTTGCTGCTTGTTTTGTGCTACTGCTTTTCTTATGTTTTCCTTCTGTTTAATACTGTTTATGAAGTGCAAAGCTTTGAGAATGTGTGTATTTGTGGTTTTATTCTGTTTTATACTCTTGGCTTTAGGATGTCACAAAAACAAAGCAAAATTAGTGAAAAATCCAATTTGTTAATATGATGGGGAGCAATTTTTAAATGTTTTTTGAAGATACTTTTTTACAAATCAGATAAATATGTTTCATATACAATTACAATACTATGCTTCAATTTTAAACTTATTAGAGGATGAAGACTTAGCAAAACAGAAGTCTGCCTACCTAATCTATGTCATCATCAAATTATGAGCAGGATTATCAATTCTGTCAAGTTACTTTGGTTGACATTTAAAAGAAGACCAGAGTCTTGACAAGAACTCATTTGTTTAACATGATTAGTATTATCCAGTCTGAGAACATTTTATAGTATAGTTTTACAATATGGTTATTGGTTTGGCAATTTATGCTTAGTCTAATACACTAATATTCTCTCTCTTGCTCTTCTCTCTCCCTCCCTCCTTCCCTCCCTCCCTCTCTCTCTCTCTCTTTCTACACACACACACACACCACATGCACACACACACAGAGAGGAGGGAAAACCATCTGAAATTAGCTTCCAAGCATTCAGAGACGTGTCCATGTGTAAATGCATGTATGCATTAGGGCTATGTAAAGTATTCTTGTTGCAAAATAAGTTAATGAAAACAAAATAACCTCACAATATTAAAGCAGCCACAAAAAGGTGTTTTAGAAGGCCTGCACAGCTGCCTTGGGGCTATATTTGTTCTCTATGCTTATCTATGCATGCACAACCACTTCATCTTGGTGGTGGGTCCTGTTTTTAATACTGGGTCTGCTTGCATTCAACTGACATTCATTAAAGAAGTTGCACCAAGCTTTCTAAAGGGCAGGGTTGCTTTAATGTTTTGAAGAAGGTTGTTTTGCTTAGGCTTTGTGATTCAACATGACAAACATACCTAATACTCCCGCCTCATATTTTTCCCACCACAACAATATCTTTCAAATGATGCTACAAGTTATACATGGACACCCATGTGCTGTGTCCCATATTGAACAAGCTCTGGCTATTCAGTGTTCTCAGACTGAGTTATGCTAATTATCTATATCATGGAAAGATTAAATATGTGTTTCAGATTAGATGTTGTGGACAAACCTTCCTAACACCCACCTTCACCAGTGCTAAGAACAGAAGATTGCAATTAACTTACATTACAAACACAAACTATGTATTCTAGTCATTTCTATTTACCTTCTGGTTTGGGTTTTTTCTTTAATGGGAGAAATAAAAACAGCAAAAATGGGGATGTTAAAAATGCTACCTCTGTGTGTGTCTCATAATATTTTATTTCCTACATTCTTTGTCTGATATAATACCCAGGATAGATGGAAAAGATTATTGAGCCAGAGTGAGATTTTCAATAATAAAAGAAGTAAAATTCTCCCTGATATTCAAAGAGATATAATTTTATATTTTATAATGGTGGAATCAAAGTGTAGAAAACAATTTCAGCTAATAATTGCTGCAGTGCTTGAAACAGTTTTTATGCAAGTAGCAAATAATTGTATTGATGATCATGTATCATTGATTATAGTCTCTGCAGGTTGAAATGGTATGAACATTTTATAAATAAATATGTCAGTTAAATAATGCTACGTCTATATTTTAAAAGAAGTGCTGAGCTGCATTCTGAATTTCAGTTACTGTTTGCTTTATGTAAGCACTTGCAATAAATAAGTGATCAGTCAAGGATTATGTTCAACAAAATAAAGGAACACAAATTGATCACTCATCTGTTCTCTACTTATGGTTATTCAAGTGGCAAACACAAACTTACATATATGTACACATACAAATGTACACAAAATTTATATGTACATGCATATGAGGAAGATTCTTAGGTATGTTTTATCTACTCTTTCTGTGTTTACAGAATAACAAATCATGTTCGAACATTTTTCTTAAACTTAAAAAATAACCTGCTTTCTACAATATGATTTGTATGAATCTTGTTCAGTACAAACTAAAATGCATGATAATGTAGGTTTAAATCAAAGTACATTACTTGATTATTTTATGTTTTGAGAATTTTTGACTGACAATCCTAAATAATGACACTGAACTAGAGAAAAAAGAGGGAGGTTAGCTAGCTGGAAATCAACAATTTGACCAAACAGAGATCTTCCAAAAAGATGATTTTTCTTAAAATACATTTTAATTAAATCAAGTTTTGGCAGTGTAGGAAAATAACAAAAATATGTCCTGTACATCATTCTGCTTTTTTCTGTTTAAAAAAACAAAAACAAAATTTGTATCTATGATTTAAATATTACTTACATATTGATAAAAAATACATTTGAAACATCGACTAAGATATCACTGTCATCTTTAGAAATTTATCTTTTATTAGAACAAACCTGAACAGTGTTATTTTAATAAGTATTGATAAGTGTGGGCTAAGATCATTTTATTAAACAATATTTAAAATAATTTGTTTACTAATTGATTAGCATCACGATACTGCCATGTATTGTGACTATTTATTAATAATCTTTCTAATATGTTTTATCATATGAAATTACAATTACCATACAAAAGAAACTTCTAAAATGTTGTTTCAGATTATAAAAAAATCAAAATCTCTGGAGTCCTAGATGCTGTCCAAGCTTGGTTGTTTGCTTCCAGATGTTTCATTCCCCAATGAATCAAAATCAATTAAGCTTATTTCTTATAATCACTATAAAAAAGAACACCAGAGGCCTACAAGTGAAGCCATAGCTTTAATTTTATATAAATTGATTTTATTATAGCTGTTGAGAAATAAATGCTAAGAATAGATTGCATTGAGCAATCTGTGCATCAATGCAATTTAAGAGGAATTGTCATTATGCTGATATTGATATCACAGGTATTCCAATTTTCCAAACTATAGGTATGTTCACCACCTTAAATTGACCAAACTTTTATATATAATAAAAGGTGGGGTAAACTAATAATGATTACCTTCCTTTTTTTAAAAAAAAAGTATAATTCAGCTACATTTCTGTGTCATAGCAAGTGGAGGCATCTATTCAGCATGTTATTTGGATCGTAAATCACTAGGAAAATCTCAAGTTTGTAGAGTAAATTACAATGTGTGGCAAAATCTTGAAAAAGGGAATAGTAAACTCTGTATTGTTTCCCACAATCTCTATAAGTCAGGAGCCAAACTTTTATTAAGGGAGATTCTACATTTATGTTATTTGTATTTCTGTATTTTTGAAAACTGGTTCTTATCGAATGTGGCTTCTTAATATTCTTTCCCCCCCTTTTTTTTCTTTTCCTTTCATTTTCCATTTCTTTTCTTTTGCTTGTTTCTTTCCCTTGGTTGTTTCTCTAGATTGATTCTGTTGAAAATTTTACCTTATCTAATACGCCTTCGCGGGATGAAGATATCAAGTATCATCTTCATTCAAGATCTAGGTCCCCTTCCACAGCTAGTGACATTGAGGTACTCTCTCTTAGAACATTTGTTTTAAGAATTGTCCTTCCCATAGCTCAGTGTTAAAGCAACTGTCTAAATGTACTGTGGAATAAGCTCAGTTGAATTAAGTGGGAATTATATTAACAAATAAAGATTATATATTCATAATATGGTGACCATAACATTTTATCCTGGTGATTTAACTCATCCCAATGGATATTATTAAAATAACGGTTGGTCACATATTATTATTATTTTTTTGTTATGTCCATACAGTCCAGCAGACTCTGTCTTATGAAAAAGAAAAAGAAAAACTCCCCAAACAGTTTAAAATGTAAATACATACTGCCTGGACTAAATAAGAAGAAGAAACCAACAATAACAACATCATAACAAGCCCATGAAGTTCGGGTCTGAGATCAAAACCCAGATCTCAAGAGTTTTCCAGAACCTCAGAAGAGATCTTGTCATTTCTATCACTTTTAGTACATGAGTTACAATATTTTGGCCAGTCACTCCTTTAGAGCAAAGAAAACTTAAAAACCATTGCTTTACTTTATGATTCTTTTTTCATTAGCATATGGAGAACAATCTGTGGCCATTATGGAGCAAGCAGAGAGAACTTACCCACTTTCACCTGTTTCTGCCTGTTTCGCACACTCCGTCACGTAGCTAGAAAAAGAATTAAAATTATAATGCCCAGAGATAGTTAATTTTTTTGTAGCTTTTCTAGGATTTCATAATGATCATGGAAATCAAAAAGGGCATTCAGGTAAGTACCGTAGTTCAGATACCATGTGGAAAGTTAGTTGACTATGGGAATTAACCTGAGGATTTATTGGTTTGGACATTTAACTAGATTTAGTTGTTCACATGACATCCGATTAACCCAATGAGGCAATTAAGCATATTGGGTAAACAGGCCTAAAGTCTCACTGTCTTTACATAGCAAACCTATTAAAAGGAGATTATTCCAATGATTTTACGAGTTTTTCAATTCAGTCAAGCACATAAACATGCTGTGTTTTTGGAAGATTTATTTCTGTTTCATATAGAAAACAGATAGCCAATGATAGATATACAGTGTTTTGCTGTTATCTTTGCATCTGAATACCTATATTAATGGAATTCAGTAGTTTCTGAAAACACTTCTATGTCCGAGCACCAGTTCATATGAGAGAGGTATTTTACATACATATGACTCAAACATATTATATGTATTTGCACAGACAAACTCACACTCAGTGACATACTTTAAATAGTACTGTACAAACAGAAAAGTGAGACTTGAAAATAATAAATAAATATATAAATCATATGTAAATTATCCCTGGGAGCCAGATAAAATATATTCACATACATATACTTCCTAACATGTAGTTATATTGTCCATTATAGAAAGCAAATTGCCCATGCAGAAAGCAAATACAGGGAGAAAATAATACGGTACATTGCTGCTGTTACTTTCAGATATCACTTGCATCTAGAATGAAGCAGTATTTCTTTTATTATTCTTCAGCAAGCTGCAGATTCCATTAGTTCTTTCCCAAGGAACTTAGCTTTGTAATCTTCCTTGAGGAATTCCTTCTGGGATTCAGTGTGATCTTCTGTGATGTAATAGAAGCCTACCAGTCAGGCTGTATCAAGCCAAGATTTTAAATATATACTAACATCTTCACCGTGGAGCAAATTTGTTTGTGAAAATGACAACCGTTTTAAAAATAGTTGATACAGCATAGATAGTAGAATATATATCCACAGTTCTAATTAAAATAACAATTTATTTCATTAGCTTGCTAGAAGCACCATATAGTTGTCTCCTGGTGGAGGATTGTTTTGTTACTTTTTGGATGGAAGCACTGATCTTCAGAATATTTCTTGGACTTTTCACAGAAACCCTAATTTCATAGTTCACATGTCACATTAAATACTCTTTCTTTCTTTCTTGCATGGTTTGATGTTCAAATGTCACCAAAGTATTCAAAACTGGAATACTTCTTGTATCTTTATACTGCAATTATATGCATGATTGCTTTTACTTTGATATGAATCATTATTTTTAAATTAATTCACAATTGACAGGGATTGCAATGTTGAGCTATGTAGCTATTCTACACTATAGTTCCTGATGTTGTTGTCCATTTATCACCAACTCCCATTTGTAAGCCAACCATGCTATATAGCTGGTTTCTTTCCTATTTATTTATTTTAGTAAATATTTAAAAAGAATAGAATCAAAAAGCAGTAAAAGTAAGAAAAATGAAAAAAAATAGAAAATAAAGTTACATGCAAGATTAAATAAAAATGAAAGTAAGATTAGTGCTGCATATTTAAGTCTTCAGAACATTGTTTGTCAAGTCAATATTCAATAATTAATTACAATATCCAGTGTAATATACATCATAAATTCAAAATCATTCTGATTTATGATTTTACATAAATTAGCCTGGTAACCACATGCTGTCACAATTACCTGTTAAAAATAGAAGAGCAGTTACAAAAGAATGTAACTTTGTATCATGGCACATTAATATTAACTATGAGCTTGTCAACAGATTAAATAAGCATATTTATTTCATGTATATCTTATATAACATTATATGTTCTATACTATATTACATTTTAATATTTTAATCAGTTAACACACATTTTTTTCATCATGATAAATTAAGCAGTTAATAACAACAATAGTGCTTCAGAAAAGTCTGTGTTCCTTTGACAATATTTTTATTTAATAAAATAAAATGAAGTGTTTCCAATGTGTTACTGGCACATGCTACTGACCTATATCATTTTATTAAACTCCTTGGCTACACTTATAAGAACATTTATCACAGTTCTTTCATATAAAAGTCTTTATTTAATAACTGCTTGAACTAGTACATGTATGATCCAATTTTGGTACAAAGGTAAATCAGTCAAACATCAGCTTAATGAAGATAGTTAAACTAAGTATGCGTGTTCGATAATTAACAAAACTGTGCAAATGTTGGAAAAAGTGCTTCTCGGTGCATATCGCTACAAATGAAACATCTCTTCTCGAAAAATTAAAAGAACTGTATGGTTGGTATGGTCAGCATGACTGCCTGAAAAGCTTTTCTTGGGTCTCTGCATGCATGTTGCATGGACAGCTGCGTTGCTTTGCTGGCAGCCTCAGGGCAAGTGCTGTTTGATTAACCAAACATTTTTTATTATATGCACATCCAAAAGAATAATCCTCAGAGTCACTATGTGAATGCTTTATGCCATTTTCCCCTCCATAGAGAGTCAGTTTGCAGTGGTGGGTGATGTCTTAGGCATGAAAAACCACTGGGTAGCTTTCAGCCAGTCATTCCCTCTCTGTCCAACTCAGTTCAAAGGGTAGTTATTATGAGAAAAATAGGAGGAAGGAGTTCTTCACCTTGAGCTGTATGTTGAAAAAAAGTATATGGATACTATAATAATAATTGTTACCGATAATTGTGTATTTTTGTGTCTATGAGTATTTGAAGCTTTTCCAGTAAACCAATTTCTTAAAATACATTTACAGTTTAGTTTTGTAAAAAGCTGTAAAGCATTTAAGTTTTTTGCAAGTGAGGGAAATTGGAATGTGTTACCCAAAGTAAATGCATTTTTTTTAAAAAAAATTCTTGCGTACTTTTTGCACCAGTTTGCTTATATCAACACCATTTAACAGTGGGGGTGTGGGTGGTTAATATGAATATAAATTAATGTTCACCATATATGTGCTCAGGTTTCAGATCATCCTCTGCGTCCAGTTCACACTCCAACCATGAGATCACCATATAGTGGTTCAGGACTCTCTGTGCCAAAGGTATTTAATCAAATATTATGATTAGAAGCTATGCTAAACTCTTAGCCTATTCTTATACAGATAGTCCTTCACTGGTGACCACAGCTAAGCATGGAATATTGGTCATAAATCATTGCGGTTGTAAGTTGAGTCCACATGACTGGACTTGATGTTTCAATCATTTTTATGACAGTCATTAAGCAAATCAGCTAAGTAAAATCAGTTGATCAGTTAAGTAAATCATGTGTCATTAAGCAAATCATGTAGTTGTAATTCCGAATCCATCTTATCCAATGGAACATTATGCCAGAAGATAGCAAAAACTATTGCAAAATAAGAACATGTGACACACAGGATGCTGCAACTGGTTGTAAAAGCAAACCAATTGCCAACCTCTCAAAATATGACCATGTGTCCTTGAAGACATAACTTTTAAGTCAGTCATAACTTTGAACTTTCATTAAATGACCAATCATAAGTTAAGGACTACCTGTATCTACTTTGTTGATCCTCTATCATTTATTTATGAATAAGGATGCTGTTAGTAAATAGGGACACGGTGCCTCAGTGGCTAAGACGCTGAGCTGGTTGATCAGAAAGGTAGGCAGTTCAGCAGTTCGAATCCCTAGCGCCATGTAACGGAGTGAGCTCCCATTACTTGTCCGAGCTTCTGCTAATCTAGCAATTTGAAATCATGTAAAAATGCAAGTAGAAAAACAGGGACCACTTTGGTGGGAAGATAACATTTATTTAATTCTTTAGACTGTTTCTATAAAATACATAAAATGTAAAATTATTATAAAGTTACATATCTGACTTAACAGAGAATGATGGTTCTGTTCTCTGAATAGAACTGATTATGATTAAACTAGTATAAGATATAGGAATAGTTTGGAAATAATGAAACTGAAAAATAAACTCTAATAGTGCAACAAAACTAAACTATATAATATGCAGCAATTTAACAATGATTTTTTATTATCAAAGTGCTTGTCACCTAATCAGTACTTTTATTTGTTTTACAGCCTAAGGCCCATCAGTTTGTAGTAAAATCCTTTAATACCCCTACCAAATGCAATCAGTGCACATCATTGATGGTTGGGTTAATAAGACAGGGTTGTACCTGTGAAGGTAAGGTCTGGCATCTGTTTTTTTTTAAACAGGATTATATTTACTATATGATAATAATTACATGTTAATTATTAATTAATTAATAATTAATTAATGCCATTTTTAGCTGTGTTACAGCTAGCTATTTCAACTACCTTTCGAAGATTCAAAATCTCCCTAGATTAGTATAATACACTACACTTGAATGATACTGTTTTTTAAAAGTACAGTGATAAATCTGAGCATCTGTTTTGTTGACTTCCGTATCGAGAGGGTTTTATGGTTGCTGAACTTTGTCTAAAACAAGGTTTTTCAGTAAATGAGCAGCTGGGTCAGCAGAGAGAAATTACGTGAAAATGGAGAAAGGACTTTAACTTTCCCTGTGTAGCAATCTCAGTTGTACTGAAACCATTAGGAGCTTGAAGAATATGATTATATGTATGAACATGCATATTTGTTTTCGCGGGTATTTATATGTATGGTATTCAGCTTTGCTCGGGTATTTTCCCACGTCATTATAGTTGTGCTGACTCACAAACGAACACTATACAGAAGCCTGATGATGGCAGATGAGATTCTGCCGAAACGTTGCTACAACTTTAAAAGCACAACTATAATGATGTGGGAAAATACCCAAGCAAAGCTGAATACCGAACATGCATATGTTTATAGAACATAAATGTTTATCGCCCTGCTTAGGACTCCTAAAACTTTCATGTACTACAACATAGATGAGACGGTGGGCTATCCATTTTATCAAACTGAACAAAATATTTTTATAATGAACTTTTCTTTATGGATGTTCATTTTAGTTCAAGAGAGTAGAGCTGATAAAAGTGATGTGGAAGATATATATGAAGCAACATCTGATTCTGTTAAAAAATAAATTTTTTAACAAAAATTCACTATCTCAGATGAATTAGTTTTATATTCATTTCTTATCCACATTCCTAATTTTCCCTTTATAAATTAGCAATTTAAATGTTGCAGAAGTATAAACCTTCATCAGAACATATATATTTGGAATTTCTGTGAAATGGCTCATTTTAGTTTATATATGATTATGGTTTTAATAGCCCAGAAGGTATTAATGCAGTGAACATACAGGTTTATCTATAGTAAATCTGGAATGGAAGTTTACAGTGACATACATTTGCTGCATAACATAGAGTAAACACGTAGTTCCATTGGCCAAAAAAAATTGATAAGGGTGTTTGTGCTTATCATATTATTAAAATAATTACTGCACAGTTAACAAGGTTAGGTGTACATTTTCATTACAAATGCTGTCTTTCCTCCCAGTTTGTGGGTTTTCATGCCATGTGACCTGTGCAGACAAAGCACCAGCAGTATGTCCCATCCCACCTGAACAGACAAAAGGTCCTCTAGGGATTGATCCACAGAAAGGAATAGGAACTGCTTATGAAGGGCATGTCCGAGTAAGTCTAAGAAAATCTGTGTTGTTTTTTGTTTACCATTAATATTCATCTCTCTTTCTCTCCCCTTTCTTATCATTTTTACAACAAAAGTGTATATAGTGTGAATGTGTGTATGTGTGCATACATTCAATATGTATGTGTACACACACACTCACAGTAAACTCCAATATGTCTCCTACTGTTTCAGATAAAAAGCTAGGAGTTGGTACTTCCATACTGTCACCGGTATTGCAATTTTGTACCAGTTTGCTAACTTCTATCCTGTTGTACTCCATTATATTACGAAGGTGGCCTGTGCTCCCTCCATCTGGCTAGTGGAAGGGCATAAAAATATAACCAGCTATTACCCTAAACACTCATCGATTAATCCCCTGTTATAGTTGCCTTTTCCCATGGAAAATAAACAAAAAAGATAACACTGTATGGTTACTGAAGATGGTACCCTCCAGAGTGACTGGAGAGGACATGAATTGTGGAACAACTCCGAAGTGCCTTAGCTGCAGAACAGAATAAGAAATCCCCAGAAATGAGACAAACTAGAGATTCTTGCCAGTGGGAACCACCTGCCTTATACTTCCAGAAGAAATGCTACCACATTTTCACTGCAGCAACACTTCTAGAATTCAAGCTGAGTTGTAATTAATTTATTCAGGACCAATTACTTTGGGAAATCAGGACTAGCATTGATCTCAGATCAATGCAATCTTTCATGTAGAAGAGGCATCAGCTTCTTCACTGCTCTATTTGAAGGAAGACATGACCATTCAGTCAATTTATTTTTATAGTATAAATGTATATCTGATTGATTTGGTGAATGGTCTCTTGTATAAATATTGAAAGTACATTTTGCATATTATGCTTAGGTGTTAAAAAACTTGTTTGCCTGTTTTGATTTTTTGCATTTAATTAAATTAATGTGATTAATTTTATTTTAGATCCCTAAGCCAGCTGGAGTGAAGAAAGGCTGGCAGAGAGCCCTGGCTGTTGTCTGTGACTTCAAGCTGTTTCTTTATGATATAGCAGAAGGAAAAGCATCCCAACCCAGTGTGGTAGTCAGTCAGGTTCTTGATATGAGGTAGGAATGGCATACTTTAATTTAAGTTTTTCTCTTTTGAGTCTCTGCTGGTATAATAACGTAGAAGTTGACCATTTTCCTATAGCCTATCCCTTTTTGATAAGCTGTGCTTAGAAGAACATCAGCAGTAGCTGTGGTATAGTATGGAAATATTACTGAGCTTTAAATATGGTGGAAAATTATGGAAGTAGAAGCTGAAGTTTTAAAACATTCACGATTGTTGCTTCAGGTAACGAATCAAACCTCTCTTTAAATGAATTTATTATTATTCACAATTGGTCAGTAGGACTTCTTGTTAAATACTTGCTAATTGCACTTAGATAAAGTGATGCTTAGAAGTTTGTGAACCTTTTTGAATTTTCTGTATTTCTACATAAATATGACCTAAAATGTGATCTATTCTCCACACAAATCCAAAAACTAGAAAAAGAGAACCCAGTTAAACAAATGAGGCTAAAATATTAAACTTGTTCATTGGCTTATCGTGGGAAATGACCCCAAACTGCATATTTATGTTTGGGGAAGAATGTAAATGTTTGCTTTTAGTAGCTGATGTGAAATCCTTGGGCAGCAATAATTTCAACTAAACATTTCTGATAACTGTTGATCAATAGAAGAGAATTTACTGTACATAGCTCAAGGCTGAAATGTAGTGTTGTTAGTGTTCTTTGGGCTTAGTTGTTTTTCAGATGGTTTATTACCCAGCTAGCTAACCAGTGTGCACTGAATCAGTGCATCATTAGTGCATTAACATTTGCAAGCAAGCAACAAAGCTCAAAGAGTGCCATAGATCCCATAAGTTTCGATCAGTCCTGTGTATTTGTTTGGAGACATTTTAGCCCATTTCTCCTACTAGAGGATGTAGTGTGCTTCCTCTCATTAACTGCCTTCTTTAGATCCTTCTACAACATTTCTACAGAATTAAGGTCAGGAGTTGGACTTGGCCATTACAAAACCTTACATTTCTTCTGCTTTAACCATTCTTTGTGTGTATGACTTGTATGTTTTAGATCATTTTGCTACATGACTGATTTACTCTTGAACTTCGATTCATGGACAGATATTCTGATATTTTCCTGGCACAATTGAGAACTCATAGGTCCGTCAATAATGGCAAGTCATCCTGTCCACAGGCAGCAAAACAGGTCCAAACCATGATATTGCCACTACCATGGTTTTTTTTAGATGGGATACGGTTAACAGATAATCAGAGTTGGAAGGGACCTAGGAGGTCATCTATTCCAACCCCCCTACACCATTTCTGACAAATGGCAGTCCAATCTCTTCCTGAAAGACTCAAGTGATGGCGCTCCCACAACTTCGGAGGGCAAGCTGTTCCATTGGTTGATTGTTCTCATGTCAGAAAGTTTCTCCTTATTTCCAGGTTAAATCTCTCCTTGTTCAGTTTCCATCCATTATTCCTTGTCTGGCCTACAGGCACTTTGGGAAATAGCTTGACCCCCTCCTCCCTGTGGCAGCCTCTCAAATATTGGAAGACCGCTATCATGTCTCCCCGGTCCTTCTCTTTACTAGACTAGCCAAGCCCAGTTCCTGCAACCATTCGTTGTATGTTTTAGCCTCCAGTCCCCTAATCATCCTGGTTGCTCTTCTCTGTACTTTTTCTAGAGTCTCAACGTCTTTTTTATAATGTGGTGACCAAAACTGAATTCTTACGCTGGAATGCAGTGTTTGCTTTTCACCAAATGTAATGATTTTCATTCAAGCCTCAATATTTTATTTTGACCTCATCTGTTCACAAAACATACTTCTAATATCTTTCTGGCTTATCCGCATGATCTTTTGCAAATCGTATAGTGGGAGCAATATTCTTTCAGAAAAGTAGTGACTTTCTCCTTGCAACCTTTCCATGCGCACCATTGTTGTGGTCTCCTGATTTTTGACATTCACAAATGCAACATAGGCCTTTAGTTCTTTAGACACTACCCTAGTGTGGTTTTAGTTGCTTGATCACTCTCTGACAGGGTTAATTTGCCTTCATTTATGTACAATTTGCCTGATAGTAGACTTGAGGGTCTTAACTCCTTATAATAGTTTTCCAGACTGATGAGTATCAATAACTGTTTTTCAGAGGTCCTCAGAAATCTCCTTTGAGCAATAATTCACGTTTCCGCATAGCTGAAAAGTGAAGATCGGATTTTGGTAGCAAGCACTCAGAATTCTGTTATTTAAATAAGGCAGGACCTTCCACTCTCACACCTATCATCCCATTTACTAAATACCGGGTTCTTATTTTCTCCTCAAATGAACTAATAATCCTGAAGATTCACATACTTTTGCCACAACAAATACATCCCTTTGAATTTTTTTTCTGCAATAAATAAATGAATAAGTATATATTTCTTGATTTGTTTGTTTAATTGAGTTTTCTGTATCTGTTTTTAGGTGTTGTATGGAGAACAGGTCACATTTTAGATCATGGGCAGCTATAGAAATATGATAAATAAGTAATAAAATTCTAAAGGTTTAAATAAATTTTAGGAGTTAAAAAATTACAGAGTTGTTGCAAATAAAATTTCAGAGTGAGAGCTCAGATATCTTCAAGATAATAAAATTGATTGTGCAGTCTTCAGTGATCGGGATATAAGTATAGCAATATTATTTTGAAATTTTCTTTTAAATGTAAATAAAAGTTTATCGGAGTTTTCTGTTGTGACACTTCGACTGGGGCTATTACTTGATTTATCTTTCACTCTTACCTTTTGCCCCCTTATTCCAATAGAAAAAAAATTGACCTATGGATACCAAACATTTATATAAAAAATTATTTGGTACAGTTATTGAGTGAATGTAATGTACTTTTATGGAGAGCTAAATATAAAACATCATTCCAGTTCTATGTTGTGCTGGTATGATTTTCTTCCAGAATAGAGGTTCTTAATTGAGGTCTATGGATTGCTTGGAGATCTATGGATTGATTTCAGGGAGTCTGTAATTTTGAATCAGAAAAAAAAGTACAATTTTATTTTCAGTAATTTCTAACTTGTCTTATTGATTTAATAGATTAATAAAGAAGAACATATCTATGTTATATTTATCATTTTGAAAACTTTATTTGAGCATAATTGGTTTCTTTTGTAAAACAATTTTCTTTTTTTCATTTTATAATTTGGATACATTTTTCTGAGATACCCATAGCCTGACTCTCAAAGAAGTCCATGACAGAGAGGTTAAGAAACTCTGCTCTAGATTGTGAATAATTACTGATCAAATGTAATAATTTCTCACGTCTTTATAAAAGGGATGAAGAATTCTCGGTGTGTTCTGTTCTGGCTTCTGATGTTATCCATGCAAACCGAAAAGATATTCCCTGTATTTTTAGAGTAAGTAATTCTCTATTACAGTTGCAACACAGAGTAGAAAATAAATTGTTCTCCTTACATTCATTTTTTAAAAATTAATGGAAATTTCTCTATTTGTTATTCAGTGTGGCTTGTGTGGTTTCCTTTGAAATTTCATGTTTTTATTGCAGCTTTCTATGATAAAATATGGGAATGTCAACAAAGTCTGATTTTAATCCTCCAGACATGGTGCAATTAATTTAAGTAGCCTTCAGAGTTCTAAAAAAATGCTATACAGGTAGTTCTCAAGATATGATAGTATACTTAATGAACGTTCAAAGTTACACTAGACATTCCCAAATTGAATAAAACTCTGTTTCAAAGTTACAACTGTGCAGCATCTTTGCAATCATTCGCCCTTACGACCGACCACAGGGATTCTGCAGCACCCCCACCTCTCTACCTCCATTCCACTCCACCACCTTGGGCCTGCTCCTCTCTTACCTATCACCTATTATATTTACTTTCTGAAGCTCTCCAGGCCTCCTGTTGGAAAAGGACAGGCCATCTTTCCCTGGGGTGCATGCAGGCCACCGTCGTTTTGTCTTGCTTGTGGGCTGGGACAACATGGCAGCCACCAGACAAACTGCTTTGTCCCCTGGCTGCATGGCTGAATATAGTTGCTATTTTGTCCTGCTCACTTATGGACAGAGACAAAATGATAACTGCTTCATTTTGCTGCCTTAATCTGTACAAGTCTGTATAGTACTGTAGAAGCTTCTGAATTCTGCAGAAAGCTTCCATAGCACTGTTCAGACATTCTTAAGGCAACAAACAAAGCAGTTTGTTCCCAGCCCATGTGGTGGCAACTCAAATATGGCTGCCATTTTTTGGATAGGACAAAATGGCCACTTCTGGAACTGCACCATACAGCTACACAAAGAAGTAATCCATTCCATTTCTCTGGAAGGCCTCCAGAGCTCTTCAAAGGGTAAGTGAGGAGGAGGGTGTTTGCCCTGATGGGGTGGGAATTATTCTAGAGGCCTGAGTGGACTCTGTGGAAGTAGAAAAGACCTGTGGGGCCTCATGGGGTGGAAAGCAGAGCACAGGCATCTCAGGAGGTGGGAGAGACCTGGGGGAGGGGATCAAAGCAAGCAGGCTTGACCCTGTGCTATGCCTCCAAGGATCTGAGGCACCCTTTTCTCCACTTAACGACAAAAGTGTTTAATGACTTATTAGGGAGAGCAGGCATGTGGAGGTTGTTAGCTGAGATGCTTCACCTAACTACTATTATGACATGTGACTGTAACAGGCAGGCTCCATTACAGTCATATCTCAAGGACTACCTGTATACAAATTAATACTTACATTTTTAAAATCAGATTTTATTCATAGCTTTATCCTGTCCATTTTTCTTCCATTTTACAGAGACTGATACTCATAGCTTCATCACTAGGTGAACAGTGATTTGAATTGGGGTCATTCACTATGCATTTTTTAATGCTTCTCTAGCTTTCATTGGTCTTTTGTAATTTATATTTGATGTTGACTTCTTCACTTATTTACTACATAAGTAGTTATATTGAGGTTATTTTTGGAATACATTCAATACATGTATTTATTCAATAAATAAATGACATTGGTATATATATCAAAGAATCTCATTTTTACTTACACATATCTAACATTTCCAGGTTTCAGCTTCTCAGCTATTAGCATCAAGTAATAAGTGTTCGGTCCTGATCCTAGCTGACAGTGAAAATGAAAAGAGTAAATGGGTAGGAGTCTTACATGAATTACATAGGATTTTAAAGAAGAACAAGCTCAAAGATCGCTCCGTCTACGCTCCCAAAGAAGCATATGATAGTACCTTACCCCTTATTAAAACTAGCCAAGCAGCAGCAATTATAGGTATGTATTTTTAAAAACATTTTACAGATTTCTTGTTTTAACTATGAAGTTTTAATTCATGCTTGAATTTTGAAGCAGCGTACTCACACTTGCCTGGAAGGGATTTGGCTCTGAATTTAAGAAAAAATAGGAGAATATTATAAACACAAAAATAAAGTTGATCTAGAATAACTACCAAAAACGATAAGTACTGTTTAGTATTCCCAGTTAGGAAAATGAGTGCACTCAAGGAAACATAGTGAGAGTGGTGATAAATAACACACAACCAGCACACAGATACACTGAATAGCAAAATGTAAGTTTTACCTCCAGTAAACGGATAAACAAAATCCAACAAACAGTTCAAATTATACACGGTTAAAGCAGTTAGTATTCAAAACAATCAGTCCAGGGATAATCCAAAAATGAAGTTCTTTTCTTTACCAGTATTATAAACAAAGTTCAGTAAACGGAGTTTGCGAACAGTTTGCAAGACTCACAGCAATCCGAGCAGAACGACGATCAGGCAGAAGGCAAAAGGAAAATGCAAGAAGAGATCAAACCAGGTTTCTGGCTCCATCTTATGGCCGTCGTAGGAACCTCAGCCAATCACAATTACAGCACTCTCTTAAAGATACAACAGTATTAAATAACTATCCTGGTTTATATATTGCCATTGCCTGGTTTATATATTGTCATTCCTAACGAGTACCAAACAGATTTTTCCCGTATGGAATAATGTAGTGAGTCACAAAGCAGCCAACACCAACAAGTTCTAATTTGTGCATTGAATACCAAACAAACAATGGAATAAAATTTTCATGTCAAAATGAGCTGAGTACCAAATTTGACAAGTTTCAAAGCAGTTGAGTACCAGGGTACCACTGTATTAAAATGGATTGCCTGTAAAATACAGTCTCTCATTTTAAAACATGATTTCCCATCTTCATATATAAACCATGTTTTCTGTGCATTCACACGCACAGCCCTCCCTTCTCAAAAAAGAAGAAGAATGGAAATGCACTGAGGAAAATATACAGTATTGGGAAGGGAAGCATAAGGGAAAATATAACTGTACAGATAAGAAAAACATGGAAGAAGTATTTAACTAGTGAGGGAAGAAAAGAGAGATCTCTTTAGGACTTTCAAAAATATTTAAATTCATCAAGCAGCATTCCCTCCAAAATATCTGATAATCTGCTGAGACCTTCTTGCTCAGCAAATGTAAAATTATCCTCCACATGTTTATAGATATTTGAAGAAAAAAAATCTTGTGTTCTTGTCAGTTAGATATGATAATATAACCTCACAAGCCTTTCTATTAAATATTTTGTAAAAAGGAAATAAAATAGAGATAGTCCTCGACTTAGATGCTATCACTGCAGCATCCTCATGGTTCTTTTAACAAGTAGAGTTAATCAGGAAGCCAGGTTCACTTAACAACTGGGTTAATTAATGTAACAACTGCAATGATTTACTTAATAACTGGCAAAAAAATCATAAAATGGGGCAAAACTCACTTCACAAAGGTCTCACCTAGTAACATAAATTTTGGACTCAATTATGGTTGTAAGCTGAGGACTATCTGTATAAGACTAACAAAACAAATCTGTGCTTATCTCTCAGAATTAAATTAGGCTTACTTCCAGGTAAATGGGCAACCTGATGTATTAGATTTCGATTCTTGTTGGTTCTAAGCAAAGTATCTATATTATTATAAACAAGTGTTGGAGTTTAAAATATTGGGGTGATATCTGGTTAACAGTCCATATAGACTTTGATTGCTTATTGTACCCTATGACTATCATTAAGTGTTGTACCTTATGATTCTTTTACCTTATGATTCATTTAAGTGTTGTACCTTATGATTCTTGACTCTTGACAAATGTATATTTTCTTTTATGTATACTGAGAGCATTTGCACCAAAACAAATTCCTTGTGTGTCCAATCACACTTAGTCAATAAAGAATTCTATTCTATTCTATTCTAAATAGTCAAGATAACATATCATCTAATGGAAAACTGGTAGTTTATATATAGAGTGGAATAAAAATAAAGATCATAAGAGGTATTGGGAATTACAAAACAGTTTAATATGATAAAAAATGGAAAGCAAAATGGAAAATAATTTATGAATCAAATGAATTCTAAAATGTTTTGAAATTGTATTTTTCTTCGATCTGTAAATGTGTACACTAGTTAAAATTGTGTATTTTCTATTAGTCATTTTTACCTTTCAACTACTTTGAATTTATATTGTTTAGAGAGATTTCTTTTTTCATTTTCATTGAAAGCAAAATGAAACAATAAGGGTATCATTACACTTTATAATATTAAATTGGTTTGAACTATTCTGGCATCTGATACTTGTTTTTCCTTGTGCAATGTATGTTTCATTTTTTTTTAATTATTAACTGTTTCAGATCATGAACGAATAGCTTTGGGCAATGAAGAAGGGTTATTTGTTGTTCATGTTACCAAGGATGGTAAGAATATTAGATTTATATTGGAAAAGTGAAAATTCAAATAAGATATACTTTTTATTTCGTTCCGTGTAGCCTAAGCTATTTGATTAATACTAGGGAGGCTCAGATTCAAGTCCCCATTTTTGCAGAAATTGACAAAAAAACATTGCAAATCGCAGTCACATGACCATGGGATGCTGCAAATGGCTATAAAGATGAGCCAGTTGCTGATCATTCCAAATGTAATTCCATTGCAACTTCAAAAACCAGGCATAAATACCTCTGAAGATACCTGCCATAACTTCCAGTGATCATTAAGGAAATGGTCATAAGTTGAGGACTACCTGTACTTAAAAACTCTCCAGTCTGTGGTATTTCAGAAGATTGGAACTCTAGTTTTGCCTTTATTTGTTTATTAATTCAGTATATGTGGCCACCCACATTTATTATTTCAAGTTTACAAATATTTTTGCTGTTGTGTTTTTTTTTAATGAGGAATGGAATGCTTAATATGAATATTTCATTTCTAATTGTGTTTAATTATTTCATCAAAAATAATTAAACACAATTAGAAATGAAAAATTCAAAATGCATAGATAAAACTAAGTGTAACTTATCCAATTCTATATTAGCAGGCACAAACTTTCTAAATATAGTTTTGCTTGGCAGTGGATAGATGACATAATATTAATAGGTACTATAGAACATAGAAACATTGCATCCAGGGCCGTCTTAACATTTGAACAATACATGAGGCTTGAAAAATACAATAATACTCATTAAGCCAAACAGTTGCTGTATTTATATGATACAAGGTGCATTGAAGGGTTAACATACAAATATTAGTATGGGGCCCCTATGCTCTTGGGGCCCACGGGCAAATGCCCATGGCCCATTTGTTAAGACAGTCCTGACAGCATCCACAAGGAAGGGAAGGGCGGCAGTGCAAAGAATATAGAACTGACTTTGGGAAACGGAAACAGAGGTACAAACTTCCTTTTTGAGGACACTTGAATAGACTCCTATTCCAATTTTTTTCTGATAGAAAAAAAAGTCAAAGGTAGACTTTTGAAAATGCAAATTCTTGATTCTTAGAAGAAATTATTAGTAGAAAAAAGCAGTTTAGAAAAGCAAGTTTATACTTTTTATTCCAGATAAACCAAAAAAGATTTAATAAGCAAGATGAATACTATCGCCTTGAGCACACTCTTTATATTTCAAGATAATTTCTTGCAACCTTTTATTTTTGCAGAGATAATCCGTGTTGGTGACAATAAGAAAGTTCATCAGATTGAGCTCATCCCAAATGAGCAACTTATTGCAGTGATTTCGGGACGAAACCGTCATGTACGACTATTTCCTGTGACAGCTCTGGATGGTCGAGAGATTGATTTTTATAAATTGGCAGAAACTAAAGGTTGCCAAACCATCGTTTCTGGACAAGTGCGCCATGGAGCCCTTACTTGCCTGTGTGTAGCAATGAAAAGACAGGTCCTGTGTTACGAATTAAATCATAGCAAAACACGCCATAAAAAAATCAAAGAGATCCAAGTGGCTGGGAATGTCCAGTGGATGGCTATCTTTAGTGAACGGCTTTGTGTTGGCTACCAGTCAGGATTCTTAAAGTACCCTTTGTATGGAGAAGGAAATCCACATAGTTTGCTTCATCCAGATGATCACACACTGTCGTTCATTACACAGCAGCCAACTGATGCCATCTGTGCTGTTGAAATCTCAAATAAAGAATACCTGCTGTGTTTTAGCAGTGTAGGGATTTATGTGGACTGTCAGGGTCGAAGATCTAGACAACAAGAACTAATGTGGCCTGCAGCTCCTTCTTCTTCCTGTAAGTTTCTGCCATTCTGTTAATTAAGTAAAGGGTTTGTTTTTCCTTATGGCTTGAAGGATGTCCACATAATTTGAATGACATTGTATATTTAATCAGTTAATAACAAGTTATAGGAGATGTGATATTGAAACATAAATAATTTTTAACTGTGTGCTGTTGGCATAATATTGTGATGTTATATGTCAATCCCTTCTTTCCTTCTTTCCCATGTACTTTTTCTCTTCATTTAGTTTTTAGCACTAATATTATTTGGCAAACTATTATGATTTTCCTTCCAAAGGAGAATCATAGATTTTGAAATAAGTCTCTTGTTTGGAGGCACCATGGTTTGCCATGCATCATAGGAACTATTATATATTGTTCCTAGAATTAACACAAGGAAGGTCCTGTTGATATCACTAAGTATAATTACCACAGTTGAAAGTCTCAGTATGGTTAGTGATAAAAGAGCATACTTAATAAATAGGCACTAGCGGCAGGGGTATTCTGCTAATAGGAAGATGATGCTAGAAGTTGCAGTATTAACTAATACTGCATTTCTTCAATTCTTCAAAAAATATTCATAACCTCAGAAAAACACCCCTTTGCATATATATGTTTGTATGTGTGCACATGTATGCACATACAAACACTCCATTACTATTATGTCAGTCCACATCAGAAGAATTTGATTTATTTTGTTAACTGCTCATTTCTGAATAACGATTAGTTGTAGACAATTTCAATGTCTTGGTACTGAGAGGATATTAGATTAGCAAATATATGATTAATATGTAATACTGTTTTATTTCTCAGCTTGGTTAATGCTTTATTTTTTCCAAAAGCTTCATTTTAACCTTTAATGTGGCTAATCATATAATCTGAACATAGTAAGTTGGTAGTAGGGTTCTCATTGCTTATTTTCAATAAATATTAAACAGGTAAACACCAATAAAAAACTAGGCTTATTTTCAACCATAGAAAATGTACTTCTAAATTAACTACAAGAAATATATACTGAAAAGTGACTTCCTTACCTTCCAGTTTTCAACCCAATCCAACATAAGGCATTATCCAGATATATTTCTTCATGTTTCTTCCTAGGTTACAATGCACCATACCTCTCAGTTTATAGTGAAAATGCGGTTGATATATTTGATGTGAACTCAATGGAGTGGATTCAAACCATCCCCCTCAAGAAGGTAACTAGTAAATTATACAGTAAATTAAACAGTTTGGATAGATTGTTCATAATATAAATGAAAACACATATTGAGTTCCATCTGGATTAAAATATTATTCTGATAACTAGGAAGGGAGACACACACCCACCTTCAGGTCTGCGATGGAAACTACTTAGGTATGAAGCAACTACTTACGGAAGCTGCTGACAGAGTTCTGTTTTTGTTGCAATAAAAAGAATTAGATCTTTCAAGCACTTTGAATTTTTAAAGAAAAGACACTTTAAACAATACAATACATACATTCCTATTAAATGTTTTCAGCATTTCATCAGGAGTTTGGTACATTTTTTACATAATATTTTTTATTAAAAGAATATTTTTTCTGAGCTGCAGCTCACTTCATCAGTGAGTAGTTAAACTGATGTAGGACTTCAGTTGGAGAGAGGTGGAGATGAGAAAAGGAAGAGAAAACAAGTTGGTTGTGCAGAAGGAGGTTAGAGTCAGATTGCAAATATCTTATCAGTTAACAATTGTGATGTTTAAAGCCCCAATGTTTTTAAGCCCACCCACCAGAGTCTTGCTGATTTTTTTGCCTCCATGATATTCATGTACGATGTATTCAAATTTATACTGGTTCATATTTTCTTCACATCTTTTTACTTTTTTTTTTACATTTTACATTTTTAGGTACGTCCTTTGAACACAGACGGGTCGCTAAATGTCCTAGGACTAGAAACTGTTAGATTAATCTATTTCAAAAATAAGATGGCAGGTAAGTAAAATAAAAAGACTGCTATCTACATTAATTACTGTTCATTGAGACATTAATAGAATGCTGATGCATTGAATGCAATCCAAGCAGCCTTTCCTCAGAAGCATTTCAACATTAAATTTGTAAGTGCTGCAATTCCCACAATTTTAAATATAATTGAGGAGAAATAATTGTGCTATCTCATCATGATAGGCTAAAAATATTTCAATTTTTCAATAGAAAAATAGAATAAAAATATTTTCAAAATATTTCTGTATTTTCAAATAGACTCCATTTAGATGTCTCATATTTCTAGCACTTCAGCATAATTGAATGTTAAGTCTATTTCAGGGAGTCCTTGATTTATGACTGTAATAGACTGTAATTATGACAGTCAAAAATCGAGGCACTCAAGTGACTGAACCTGATTTTATTATGTTTTTGCAGTGGTTGTAAGCAAATGCCACAATTGTTAAACAAATCAATGTATTCCTATCAATGTTTTGCCAAAAACCAATAAAAAACAAATTGTAGTCACATGACCATGGAACACTGCAACTGGTCATAAAGGTGAGCCAGTTGCCATGAGCCCCAAATCCAATCATGTGACTGCAAGGGATTGTGCACCTGTCTGAACTCTGGAACCAGGTAATAAGTAGCTTTTGGCAAGTCCATCATTATTTCAAATTATCACGAGCAATTGGCCATAAGTTAAGGATTTTATACTGATTTTGTTACCACTGAGATTTTTTAACAAGTTACTTGCAGTTCATCAAATATAAGATATATCAATACTTCCTAAAATTATAGATTCAGATCTTTGAAATAAATAAAACTTCTATGAATGCAATGGTTGGGAAGTTTATAGCATTGTTGAGTTCCTCTCCATTGACAGAAGGAATTCTTCTTTATAGTTGTATTTATTGATAAAGTACTTTCAGATTAAAAATTAAGTACAGAGAATTAAATCATTGAGTCAGCATTGTGAATTCATTGTTGTTTTTTCTTGCCACTTCCCAGTAAATGTGATAGGCAATGTTTCAATCAGCACCACAGACATTTCAGCAGGTAAATCTAGTAGTTAAAGGCTCTGGAAGGAATATTACTTGAGTAAACTTTTGTGTCTCACAATCTCCTAGAAAAACATTCCTATTTGTTTTATTTTATAATCTCTAAAAATAAACATTTCTAAATGACCCATTTATTTTGTATAACATGCCAAATATTTTTTGTATATCGCATCTACTTTAAGCATAAAGTTTTTCTTAGAAGAAATTGTGAATGCAAGATTAACTCTACATTAGGTGCAAACAAGAAGTAGAACGAAGCACAGAAGTGGGAAGTTTTACCTTACATATTGTTCTAATGATAATTCCCATTACCACCATCACCCAGTCTTTGTCTCAGAACAAGATAATTTTGCCTCTGAACTTACAGATGTACAAGTTGTACAGTAACTATTTGGGGCGCAAAAATGATCAGTTGAGAAAAAGTCATTTCTTTCAAAGTCAGGATTCCCTGTTTTTTTTAATTTTTCAAGCCTCTAAATGAATATTTGCAGATAGCATATAATTAGTATAAGCTTAGAACCGTAACATTACACTAGGTATTTATATTTTTTCCATTGTTTTAGCATTGGCTGTTGTACCTAATTTAGAAAAGTTTTCTATACCCTCTGCAATTGGGAAAAATTGATCCTGCTTGGATTTTTATGTTTCTTCTTAGAGGGGGATGAGTTGGTGGTTCCTGAGACATCAGATAACAGTCGAAAGCAAATGGTCCGAAATATTAATAATAAACGGCGCTACTCATTCCGAGTGCCTGAGGAAGAGAGAATGCAGCAGAGAAGGTCGGTATTCAACCTGTACTTGTCTTCTGTCCATGCTTGTAGGCCGTGAAGACTGTTGTGTCCCGTCATTGTATTTTTTTTTCTTTGTTCAGAAAAAAAGAGATTTCTGGTCAATGCGTTCAAACATTTGTCTTTTCTGTTATATAGTATGCTTTGTTTATTATTATGTATAACCCAATACTTAAATTTATTTTAATTTAAATATCAATGCAAAAGAACTATTGTAAATTGGAATGCATGTCTCCAACTACTGTACATAAGTACATTTGTGTGTGCATGTGTGTATATACTGTATATATGACTGATAATAAAGTTTTACAAAAGAAATTTATATTGCTAATTATGCATATATTGTCCAGTTTTGATATTTTCCTTTTTGCACAAATCCTATCTGATTATCTGATACACTGATTTTTCCAGTGCTCTGATGATAACAATTGTTTTTCAAATTTTGATAATGGTTTTCAGGCAGTAAAAGGATCACCTTGCAAGATAGCATTCAGACTATATGAAAATATTCAGGAAGGATTCTGATTTTTAAGAAAATACTTTCAAGACACATGGAGTTAATGTTTCAGCATTTCTCATGTATAGGCTGTGCTGATAAAAGTTTGTATACAATTATGGGAAAACAGGGAAATAATAGAACTTGCTTGTTCTCAAGTCAGCCTTTTTTTCACTACTGTTGAGGCTTTTTTAGAGTTATTTATGACATAATCCATGATTAGAACCAGTTTTATGCTGTCAGGTTTTCTAAAATGCTGGAAACTCTCAAGAATTTTCCTTAGTATCCTACAACACATTGGCAAATTCCTGTAAAGCTTTTTAAATTATTGTAAAAGTAAAATGCAAAGAGTAGTGCTATATTCTTCTAATCCTTTTCTTTTCTTCTATCCTTCATCTCTGCCTCCATCCTTGCAGCATCCGATCATCACTGAGCCCACTTCTACACCTTTTCTTGAATGTTGTCTCAACTCCCTCTCGTAGTGCACTCTGAGACCCAGTAACCATTTGGACTTTTTATGAACATGGCCTGTTAAGCTTTTAAGCCAAACCTCTGTTCTTCCTGACCTTTTCCCTCCCATCAAGCTAACAGCTGAGATAGAATCAGTATCAGAATTTAAAGTATTTTTCTTTTAAAATTTAGCCAAATATTTGGCTATTTGGAATAATTTACATGACTAGTATTTGTGTTTATAAATAGCCACTTCAGCATACAATATCTGAATATTTTCTTTTGCAGAGAAATGCTGAGAGATCCAGAAATGAGAAATAAATTAATTTCTCACCCAACTAACTTTAACCATATAGCACACATGGGCCCAGGAGATGGTATACAGATCCTCAAAGACCTGCCCATGGTAAGTACAGCCTGGTGTATAACAAAAGTGAAATGAATTTGTCTGAAATATAAAAAAAAATGTATTGATTTTCTGTCCTATTCACAATCTCACTACTCTCAGCAATTTACATACATGCAAATTTTAAAACATCTGTAGTTTGAGTAAAACAACACAAATAAACAAAATCATAACATTAATGATCAACATAGCAATAAAATGAAAAAAACAGAAAAATAAAAAAAATACAAGGTGGCACAAAAGGAAAGCATCTTCCTTTCATATTTGAAGGAAGAAAATGCCATTTTGTATTTCACCCTCAGATCAGAAATCTCCAGTCTCTCATTTCTTTTTTTCCATTGCTTCCTTACTGCTGTCACTGATGACCATTTACATATCACAGCTTTCTCCAATCCTCTCTTAACCCTACCATTCTGTTTTCCCCAATTTCCCATCATCACTCTTCAGTAACCTGGCTAGGGAGAGTTGTAATTTAGCACATCCAAATCAATGGGATGGATAACCCCTGGCATTTCATACGCCATTCTATCCCTGTGCTTATTCATTAGTGAACAAGAGTCAAGGACTTCTTTAAATTCAAACCTGGTCAACTTGCTGTTTCTGTTTTGTATGACTTTACCTCTTAACTGTTTCTGACTTGCCTATCTTTGTGTTGCAGAACCTTCGGCCTCAGGAAAGTCGGGCAATGTTTAGTGGTTCTGTCAGTATCCCTTCAATCACAAAAACCCGGCCTGAGCCTGGACGCTCCATGAGTGCTAGTAGTGGTTTGGCAGCAAGTAAGTTTTCTTGGCGTCAGTCTCTTTCTCGATTTTCCTTGAGAAGGGTATACTTTTACCTCTGCATTTGTCTGCTTCCTGAAGAATGTATTATGAAAGGGTTAGAGGTTTTGGTGGTCAAGGATGTACGACCCTAAAAGCAAAGGGAATTTAGTCAAGAATTTAGGGATAAAAGATGAGAGGTTCTCCTTGGAGAGAATACAAATATGAAAGCAATGCAGATTTAATAATTTTCAAAGACAATAACACTGGATTTATATATATATAAGAGCTGCAGTGGTTAGAGCCCAGTATTGCAGGCTACGTCTGCTGACTGCCTGCAGTGTGGAAGTTCAAATCCCACCAGGCTCAAGGTTGATTCAGCCTTCCATCCTTCTGAGGTCAATAAAATGGAAAAACAAAACTGGCAACCATCAGTAGACCAAATAACAGTAAAGGGTGACAATGAATACTGTGGGTTAGTTCTAATGCTTTTACATGGTATGTAGTTAAATTCTTGGGTGCATTTCTAGGAACATCTTCACAAAATGGTAGTGCTTTGCGGAGAGAATTCTCAGGAGGTAGCTATGGAGCAAAGCGTCAGCCAATGGCATCCCCTTCAGATGGCTCTTTGTCTTCTGGTGGCTTGGACCAAGGCAGTGATGCACCAGTGAGGGACTACGAGAGAGAGGTGGGTATAAGCTCCAGTTTATGCTTAAAGTAATTAAAAATAGAGACACATGACTACTGTCGTCAATAATTGAAACCAAGTATTACTCTGTAAAATATGACAAAAATCCAAAGTAGCATGAATTAATTATACTGACAATTTTGTTAGCAATAGCAATACCAATATCATACCAAGCCTGATTTATGAAAATTATATACAACATAATCTGTAAGTCATCTGATCACAGAAGGCAAGCCTTAAATTTTTGAATTGTTTGGTCCGGGGATCAAATTGTAAACTTCTCAAATGGGCTGAATTCCCTGTGGAAACAACCACCAGCTAAAAAATGTTCTGTTGAACAAGCAAAAAATATTCCAAAAAACAATTTGGGGAAATTCTTGGTCATACAAGGGGTTTTTTTTGTTGTTGTTATTGTGAAGGAATTGTTTAGGAGTATGTAACACAGTGCAGTACGAACAAAGCCACTTCAGGAAATTATGCAAATAAACATTTATATAAATGTGAGTATAGCATTTATAGGCATAGATGCAGATACAGGAAAATAAAAATTAGATCAACAAAGGTCCCTAAATGTATTAATTACCACTGAAGTTTATAACAACGCTAGAAAAAAATGTCTGCCAAAAATATTTGGTAGATTGTGAATATAAACATGTTCTACTGTATTAGCGACACTGTTACGAGGACTCAAAATGTCAAGAACCCTAAAAAAGACCTTCTAGAAAGTTGCCTGTATAAATGTGCTGTTTGTTTTCATCCCTCCAAAAGTTCAGGCCAATGTGCTTGGGGAACAAAATTAGGAACATTCTCTTGATAAGGTAGAACGGGTATTCTTCACTGCCTATTTTTGATAGGGTTGCTGGCCAGGCAAAGAAAGGAGGGGTATCACACTTGGCATTCCATTCCTTCCTAGTCTCTTGCTTCTGTAGGCTTCCAAGCCTCCCTGTTTCCATTTGTTGCCACACTACTGTTCACTAATATGTTCTCTTCACGTGTTTTGGGCTGCAGGACTCTGACTCTCCAAGGCATTCTACAGCTTCCAACAGTTCCAACTTGAGCAGCCCTCCCAGTCCCATTTCTCCTCACAAGACCAAGAGCCTCTCCCTGGAGAGCTCGGACCACGTGAGTTGGGACTCATGAACTGCTTCGGCATTCAGATTTGACATCTCAGCAGCTTTTGGTCCCCATGATTCTCCATTTGCTCTCATTCTCATCTCCTCTCAGCTTCCCTACAAGAATCAAACTGTGGGTGGGAGGGGGAGGAAGAGAATGTATGTGCCATAATTGGCACCAGTAGCGCAATTCTCTTCCCCTCCTAATAGTAGCCAGCAAACGAAAGAAAACCTGGTGGAGGGCAGCAAGGAGTTGTTGTTATATGAGAAATATTGGTAATTTCTATTATTATCAATTTTATTTCATAGGATTATGAAATTCCATTGTATGGCATATTATGCAACACATCACACTGCAAACAAAACATGGTAGTGTAGGCTGATATACACAATATGTAACAGGAAACCAGACAGATTTGCTTTGGTACACGTAGACCCATATTATATTTTTTCAGAAATAAGTACAGCAACATCCTCCATGTTTGATAATAGGGTGAAATTTGCCCTGCTAAGGAAGATACACATGCTTTCAGACACTCTGAATGTCAGTCTGATTGCTACCAGTAAATCTTATTGATTTTGGGAAGGGTGGGGTGGAAATGATGCATATTTTACTATAATAGAGTTTAAGTAAATACACAAAATTAAGAGTTAGTACATATGTATATAATAAAAGGAAAAGCAGCATTGTAATGCAGCAGAAGATGGATTCCTATTTAAGAGATCCTTTAATTTAAAATTTGTGGTGTTTCTTTTTTCATACTAAATAATCTATGGATTGAGGGTGTGATCTGAATTTAGAACATGGCACTGGATAAAAAACATACAGCCTAGATGAAGACTCCATCCTCACAATTTTTCTCTGTGACATTTCCTCATCAGTAGAAAAAAACGAAAGCCATAAGCATCATTTTAAATTATCTCTGCCTGATTTCCACTTTATTTTACAAGCAAATCCTATTGTTTACTAGTACACAGATGAAGTAAACTGAAGGGTATCCAAACAATTATAGAATCTCCTCAGCTGAAGTAAATGCAAATAGAAATGAATGAGCTTTTGGAAAATTAGGGCTAGGCTTTCAAATCCATTTTGCCTTTTAATCACCACAAGCTCTTAAGTAACTTTCTTAGTTAACTAAGAAACTAACCAACATTCACTGAATACAAGGATCATTCAGTCCAAAATAGAAGTTCTTGAAACTTAACATGCCGCTTGTAAAGTTGTTCTTTGCTAAATTATTCAAGACTTCTGAAGATTTTAATTGTGGTCATCTGCTTACCCATCCTGGTCTAGAATTCCTATTGTCTTTGATGTAGAATTCTGGTGGTTGAATCTAATAGAGAAAGCTTAATCAGAGCACAGCATTTCTGTCTGAATAGTTGAGATCCATCATCACCTAGAAATACAGTGGTAAAGACAACATGCAGATGGAGGGGAAAGGCAAACCCCTTTTTTCTTCCGTGTTATTGAATAAAATGAGTACAGTTTGCATTTTCACACGAGATGAATGTGAATTTTCTTTTTAGAATTGTTGCTTCTTTAGGCTAGACTTAAGCTCAAGTGGATAAAGTATTCAGGTGGTAATTAAAAAGATAGTTTCTACAAGTTTTGTAATGTATCATGAATATTGTCAAACAATTACAGTTAACATCAGTGGAAAACCAACAAATCTGTAAGAATTTCCTAAGTCACCTCTGAAAAATCATCAGCTACAATCACACAAAATTCTGATTAAGTACTAGAAGATAGAGATCATTGTCTCTAATCATCTAGGTGTATTGAGTCTGTTATTTCTGTATTTGCATTTATCTCTTATGCTGGGGAATAATTGGGAGTAGGAGGCAAACTTACACTTTGGTATTAAGAATGGTATCCTAAACCTGTCTGTTGAATTATTAAGAATCTCAGAATTATGCTTTGTCATGAGTTAGAAACAAAAGATTTGAATTTCAGCACTACCAATTAAAAATACTAAAGGAATTTCCTGCAAGTCTTTTCCAAGGAATTGAGTCACAGCAACAAGAACAGCTTATAAAATCTATTAGCTCTCGTCTCCCTTGACAGTCATTATTCCAAGATCCTGTTCAGTCTTTCTTACAATGATGCTCTTGCCATTGTCATTGCTCCATTCCATGGCGAAAAGGTTAGCATTCCCTCCACCCCATATTCGCTGGTGTTTTTTAAAGGCTTCTGGTTCTAGCTTTAAATTGCACCTGGCTTGCAGAATTATTGATTTCAGAAATGATATTGGAAGCCCTCAACAAGTCCTATGGCAATCAAGCTATGGTTCACATGAAGATAGTTCACATAGTTTGTCACACCTGCAAACAAGAGCTAATGGGACGAAATGTGCAAATTAGAAATAGTTTTACATCAAACTATTTAATAAATGAAAACAGTGTGAGGATTTGTGAACTTGCAATACTAATACTGATAAATCCTTGGGTACTTTTTCCAGCTGTACCCAACACAAACACTCTTAAATCTCTGAACAGTTAGCTGGTAAATTTGAGGTTTGCAGCGGTGCATTTCTCAGTTTTCATTCCTACATTTTTTCCGTTTCTCCAGGCACTTTCATGTGCTCTGACTGAATCCTGACTAATTTGATTAGGATCTCTTTTGTATGCAGCTTGGAGCTATGCTGGCCGTAAATTTGCTTTCAACTTATTCAGGCACTTCATTCATTGCCCTGTTATATTTAAGAGGTTCAATAAATTGGATTATAACTGAACCTCAGATGGTTCACCACTTGAGACTCTGTGTATTTAAAATAGAAACAATCTATACACAACATTCATGTTTCTTTTCAGAATATATTCCTACTGTACAATTTTATTCTGAATCAATCTTTCATGAATGACTTTGTCTAAAATTTGATTGACAGGTTATGTTGTATTCCTATTTATCTTTTTTCTTGTCTTTTCTTAGAACAGCAGGGTTGGGGGTGATTCACTATAACATTTATGTTAAACTCAGGTATTCGGAAACAGCAGACTAATGTTTTAATATGTACATATAAATGCAATAATGTACTTTTGGGTATGTGATTTCCCCAGACACATCTTAAGTCACAAGCAAAGCTTTTGTTCCAAAGTCAAAAACTTGGAAGATAAATTGAGTGAAGGATGATGGTGGGTGTTAAAAATACTTGGGATTTTTCAGCTACCAGATTTCAGGGATAACATATACCTGTGCAACAGCAGCAGCAGAGATTCTCCTCCTTTTTCCTTGTCTGATTATACCACAGAGATATCTCTTTGTAACTGGGGTCCTTTATCTAGGTGCACAGTTTGGAAACCCCAGGACATGCATGTGCCTTCAGAGGAAGGTTACTGAAAGGCTCCGGGCAAAATCTAGCTCAGAGCAACAGGACTAGTCAAGGCACTGCCCTGTCACTTTCAAGTGTCTTCATTTGGATTTTCCTGGGAAACTAGATTTGCAATTCTTCATCTATAGGGGCCTTCAGGAATCAGTTCAAATGGAGATACTAAATTTTGGGGGACTACATTGCATGTTAAAGCGATTCCACACACACACACAAAATCATTGCTTTCCTTTCTCATTCTGCATAAAAAACATAGTCACACTGATGAGGAAGCAACTCACAACCAAAAACTGCCCTTGGTATTTAACAGAATTGTACCTGCCTTTTTATGTACGATTTCATATCATTTATTTTTTAAAAAAATATATTTTTAGGGATTTTTTTTCATTGTAATATTGTTGTACAGTTTTGCATGGCCTAGATGTAATCACTTTTTTTTGTTTTTGGTTTAGAGTATAAAAGCTGACAAGTGTGTGCGTGGGAGGGGGAAGTTCCTGCTTTGGCTCTTCTCACTCGTCTTTTTGATTCATGTCCTCATGTCCTCAGTGTCGTAGAGGCCATTGTAAGAGATTCTCTGCTCCAGAACAATGATGTAGATTCTATTGCACAGAAATATTTAAGGTGGATCAGTCAAAGGTGTAATAAGTGGCAGACCACCAATATTTTACATTGATAACACTTAATATTAACCTACTTTGATGTATTGCAATAAAACAGGGAAATACTAGAAATTCAGATCGTTTGTCGTCTTTTCCCTTCCCCTCCCAGGTCAATTTTACGGTAAGAGTGGGCCCATAAATTCAGCTATTGAATTTCTAATTTCTTACTGTGCTGGGCCAGGAAACTTTAGGGAGTGGTTGCTCTCTTCCAAAGCATCTACTTAATTTAAACCATAGACTAATCATACTTCGCCATTCTGTCCTTGTTTGCTCCAATGCTGCTGAGGATAAAAACATTTAAAGTCATATTTTTCTCCAGCATTTGGTTTTAAGCAATGAATCCAGGTGCATATTGAGCATACTGTGAATAGAGCTTAACAAATGGCTATTTGAAGGACAAACGGAACTTAAAATATTCATTTGCTCTTGTTTACTGATACACTTGAACAATCAAATAGAAACAGGACTTTATTGTGTAACCCTATAGATGCAGCTTCTTAGTTAGGAAAAACAGCGCAGAACTGTTGAGGGCATTTTTTTTGTTAAAACTTTGGCATCTCCACCCCAGCTCACTCCCATCATAAGTTTCCCATCATATATTTGCCCATAGTAGTTGCCCAGTATGCTAGTTACAGTAGTTTATTTTATAAGAAACAATTAGGATGTCTGATACAGTTGCTAAATATCAGTTGCAATGCACATGATTCCTGCACACAAACATTCCTGCCATTTCTAAAAACCCATAACAGAAAAGCCCATGTCTTTTTCTATGACAGTTACATTAACTATCCTGATGGTTCTTACACCAAACGCTGCTGGACCACTTTTATTTCTCGAGACAAAATCAAGCATGCTTTGTCAAAAATAATTTGAATTCACGTAACTTACATAGTATTGCTATTGTCCTTGACTGTGAAGATTTAATGAAGCGGAACTTCAGTCATGAGACGTTCAGAGAATTTAATGATATCACTATACAGTGTATATTTCTGATTCGCTTTGACATAGACCTGTGTTTTACTGAATCTCTCCCCTTGTCTGGAAAATCATTTCATAAATGATACACGAAGCACTGTCAGGTCAGGTGAAAGCAACCAGAACAACTCGTGAATACTCCCAAACAGAAGCTTTATTGCTAGTCACCCATGTTACAAGAATCTCACCAGACTGACTGCATTTCCTTGGGAACAGTTAGGTAAAGGCTTCAAGGATTCGGGGGGAACTTATTTTTTGTGACAAACAGGAAGTAAGTGGTTTTCTTCATTAAGTTTTTTCAAATATATCAAATAGTTTATTCCTTGTAAATGAGATTGAATATTTCTTTGATTAAAGGCATTTGAATAATCACATCTGGAAGAGTGGTACTTTATATAATAATGTTAAATTCCTCAAAAAGCAGATTCCTACTGTCAGTTAATATTTTTTGGTTTAACAAGCCCCTTGTCAGCTTTTTATACTCTTAGTAATGCTCATATTCCATCTTTTCACACATTTCATCTCTCTCGGATATTGCAGCATAAGAATACAGAGTTTTAAAATGTTTCTTTCCTGTTGAATGAAATGAAGATTGTAGTAGTCTATCAGACCAGATTATAAATAATATGTTATCATTTACAACAATCTATTTATTTTTCTATGAACTTAGGACTTGCAGTCCATGATATCCTTTCAATGGTATCACTTCAATGCCGTTAATTTGCACTATGTGAGTAACACAGTAAACAGTTCCAAAGAAATAAGTTCAATTTATCTAAATGCATAGAAGCATCTGCAAGATATTTTAGGCAGCAAGAGAGGCTTAGGACAATGAAATAATAAAATGACCAGTAGCCACCCTTCTCAAATTCTTGCTAACATGACAATGAACTATCATATTGAAAGGCAATGAGAATGAATCAATAAAAAAATGCTCATACTATGGTAGAAAATATGACCAATTTATGCATATGACTCCTTCAGCAGCAATTTGTATTTAAGTGACTGACACACAGGGAGGGAGGAAGAGAATTGTCCACAAAAACCTGCTTGCTACAGTTAAACCTTTTCTCACAATCACTTTGGTGCCTTTTGAGATAAACCAAAATTCATGTAAATTGGAATAAATAATGGCAGACCTTCTGAAGCTGTCATATTATTAGAAAGACAATTTTTAAATTCTTTCTCCATCACCCACTATCCTAAATTCTAGTAGGAAAATTTATTTAGGCAAGAGAAAGCGGGATGTAATGGTTATTCCTTCCTTCCTGCAGGTTTTATACTTTTTGGTGTCACATAAAGGTATAAACTCAATTTATTGTTAACACATTCAGCAACAGAATTAACCATCTTAAGCAGAAAGTATTAAAAGGATTAGGTCAGAATTCAGCTAAAGAATGTTGCAGTTAAATTTTGTGGTTTCAAAGCAAGTGTTTACTGATTATTCCAGGCCATAGGGCAACTCTTACTGTAATTAATTATGGACCATCATTTTTTACTCCTAGCAACTACATAACATATATTTTTCTCCAGGATGA